CTAAATCACCCTCAATCCCATGCCTCCATATTTTCTGCAATAGCCTACCATGGGGAACCTTATCAAACGCTTTACTGAAATCCATATACACCACATCAACCGCTTTACCCTCATCCACCTGTTTGGTCACCTTCTCAAAGAACTCAATAAGGTTTGTGAGGCACGACCTACCCTTCACAAAACCGTGTTGACTATCCCTAATCATATTATTCCTTTCTAGATGATTATAAATCCTATCTCTTATAATCCTTTCCAACACTTTACCTACAACCGCAGTAAGGCTCACTGGTCTATAATTACCAGGGTTGTCTCTACTCCCCTTCTTGAACAAGGGGACAACATTTGCTAGTCTCCAGTCTTCAGGTACTATTCCTGTAGACAATGATGACATAAAGATCAAAGCCAAAGGCTCTGCAATCTCCTCTCTAGCTTCCCAGAGAATCCTAGGATAAATCCCATCCGGCCCAGGGGACTTATCTATTTTCACACCTTCCAGAATTGCTAACACCTCCTCCTTATGAACCTCAATCCCGTCTAGTCTAATAGCCTGTATCTCAGTATTCTCCTCGACAACATTGTCTTTTTCCTGTGTGAATACTGACGAAAAATATTCATTTAGCGCCTCTCCTATCTCTTCGGACTCCACGCACAACTTCCCACTACTGTCCTTGACTGGCCCTAATCTTACTCTCGTCATTCTTTTATTCCTGACATACCTATAGAAAGCTTTAGGGTTTTCCTTGATCTTACCTGCTAAAGACTTCTCATGCCCCCTCCTGGCTCTTCTTAGCTCTCTCTTTAGGTCCTTCCTGGCTAACTTGTAACTCTCAAGCGCCCTAACTGATCCTTCACGCCTCATCTCTACATAAGCCTCCTTCTTCCTCTTGACAAGAGATTCAACTTCTTTAGTAAATCACGGTTCCTCGCTCGACCACTTCCTCCCTGCCTGACAGGTACATACTTCTCGAAGACACGCAGCAGCTGTTCTTTGAACAATCTCCACATTTCAATTGTGCCCAGCCCCTGCAGTTTCCTTCTCCATCCTATGCATCCTAAATCTTGCCTAATCGCCTCATAATTGCCTTTCCCTCAGCTATAACTCTTGCCCTGCAGTATATACCGATCCCTTTCCATCGCTAAAGTAAACGTAACCGAATTGTGGTCACTATCACCAAAGTGCTCACCTACCTCCAAATCTAACACTTGGCCTGGTTCATTACCCAGTACCAAATCCAATGTGGCCTCGCCTCTTGTTGGCCTATCTACATACTGTGTCAGGAAACCCTCCTGCACACATTGGACAAAAACTGACCCATCTAAAGTACTCGAACTATAGTGTTTCCAGTCAATATTTGGAAAGTTAAAGTCCCCCATAACAACTATCCTGTTACTTTCGCTCCAATCCAGAATCATCTTTGCAATCTTTTCCTCTACATCTCTGGAACTTTTCGGAGGCCTATACAAAACTCCCAACAGGGTGACCTCCCCTTTCCTGTTTCTAACCTCTGAAGGTGTTATATCTGAATGCACGCAGTATAAGGAATAAGGTAAATGAGCTTGTGGCGCAGATCACAACTGGCAGGTATGACGTGGCTGCAAGGGGATCAGGATTGGGAAATAAATATCCAAGGATATACATCCTATTGAAAAGATAGGCAGGTGGGCCGAAGGGGTGGGGTTGCCTTATTAGTGAGAAATGAAATTAAATCAATAGGAAGAAACGAAGTAGGGTCAGATAGGGTAGAATCTGTGTGGGTAGAATTGAGGAACCGCAAAGGTAAAAAAACCATAGTTCGGGTTGTGTACAGGCCTCCAAACAGTAGCCAGGAGCTGGGGCGCAAGATACACCAGGAGATAGAAAAGGTGTGTAAGAAAGGCAAAGTCACAGTGATCATGGGAGATTTCAATATGCAGCTGGACTGGGAAAATCATGTTGGTAGTGGATTGCAAGAAAAGGAGTTTGTGGGATGTCTATGAGATGGCTTTTTGGAGCAGCTCGTGGTGGAGCCCACAAGGGAACAGGCAATACTGGATTTAGTGTTGTGCAATGAGGCAGACTCGATTAGGGAGCTTAAGGTAAAGGAACCCTTAGGAGGCAGTGATCATAAGATGATAGAATTTACTCTGCAATTTGAGAGGGATAAGATAGAATCAGAGGTCATGGTATTACAGCTGAATAAAGCCGGCTGCAGAGGTATGAAGGAGGAGCTGGGCAGAATTGACTGGAAGAGGAGTCTAGCTGGAAAAACAGTGGAACAGCAATAGCAGGAGTTTCTGAGAGTAATTCAGGAGACGCAGCAAAAATTCATCCCTAGGAAAAGGAAGCATGGTACAGGGAGGATGAGGCAACCATGGCTGACTAAGGAAGTCAGGGATAGCATAAAAGCAAAAAAGAAAACATATAATGTGGCGAAGGGCAGTGGAAAACCAAAGGACAGGGAAGCTTACAAAGACCAACAGAGGGCAACAAAAAAAAGAAATAAGGAAGGAGAAGATTAAATATGAGGGTAAGCTAGCTAGTAATATAAATGAAGACTGCAAGAGTTTCTGTAGGTATTTAAAGGGCAAAAAAGAGGGAAAAGTGGACATCGGACCACTGGAAAATGACGGTGGAGAGATAGTAGTGGGGAACAAGGAAATGGCTGAGGAACTGAATAATTACTTCACGTCAGTCTTCACAGAGGAAGACACGAGTAATATCCCAAAAATTCTAGAGAGATTCGGGGGGCAGAGCTGAATATGGTGGCTAACACCAAGGAAAAGGTCTAGTAAAACTGATTGGCCTGAAGGTGGACAAATCACCGGGACCAGAAGGACTACACCCCAGAGTTCTAAAGGAGATAGCTGAAGAGATAGTGGAAGCGTTAGTGGTGATCTTTCAGGAATCACTACAGTTAGGGGACTCCCAGAGGACTGGAAAATTGCTAACGTGACACCCCTGTTTAAAAAGGGAGTAAGGCAAAAGATGGAAAATCATAGGCCGATTAGCTTAACCTCGGTCGTGGGCAAGATTTTGGAGTCCATTGTAAAGGATGAGATTTCTGAATATTTGGAAGTGTATAATAAAATAGGGCAAAGACAGCATGGTTTCATCAAGGGGAGGTCATGCCTGACAAATCTGCTAGAATTCTTTGAGGAAGTAATGAGCAGGGTAGACCAAATAGAACCAATAGATGTTATCTACCTGGACTTCAAGAATGCCTTTGATAAGGTGCCACACAGGAGGCTGTTTAGTAAGATAAGCGCCCATGGTGTTAGAGGCAAGCTGCTAGCATGGATAGAAGACTGGCTGTCTGGCAAAAAGTAGAGAGTAGGGATAAAGGGGTCTTTCTCGGGACAGCAGTCGGTGACGAGTGGCGTTCCGCAAGGGTTGGTGCTGGGACCACAACTCTTCACTTTGTACATTAATGATCTAGATGAAGGAACTGTGGGCATTCTGGCTAAGTTTGCAGACAATACAAAGATAGGTGGAGGGACAGGTCGTATTGAGGAGGTGGGGAGGCTGCAGAAGGATTTGGACAGGTTAGGAGAATGGGCAAAGAAGTGACAGATGGAGGACAACATGGGAAAGTGTGAGGTCATACACTTTGGTAAGAAAAACAAAAGCATGGACTATTTTCTAAATATTTTCTAAAATTCAGAAGTCTGAAGTGCAAAGAGACTTGGGAGTTCTAGTCCAGGATTCTCTCAAGGTAAACTTGCAGGTTGAGTCAGTAGTCAGGAAGGCAAATGCAATGTTGGCATTTATTTTGAGAGGATTTGAATATAGAAGCAGGGATGTACTACTGAGGCTTTATAAGGCACTGGTCAGGCCACATTTGGAGTATTGCGTGCAGTTTTGGGCCCCATATCTCAGGAAGGATGTACTGGCCCTGGAGTGGGTTCAGAGGAGGCTCATGAGAATGGTCCCAGGAATGGAAAGCTTTACATATGAAGAAAGTTTGAGGACTCTGGGCCTATACTCATTGGAGTTTAGAAGGATGAGGGGGGAATCTAATTGAAACTTACAGAATACTGAATGGCCTGGACAAAGTGGATGTTGGGAAGATGCTTCCATTGGTAAGAGAGTCTAGGACCCAAGGGCACAGCCTTAGAGTAAAGGGAAGACCTTTTAGAACGGAGGTAAGGAGAAACTTCTTCAGCCAGAGAGTGGTGAATCTATGGAATTCACTGCCACAGAAGGCTGTGGAGGCCAGGTCATTGAGTACATTTAAGACTGAGGTAGATTCTTGATTATCAAGGGGATCAAGGGTTATGGGGAGAAAGCAGGAGAATGGGGTTGATGCACTTATCTGTCATGATTGAATGGCAGAGCAGACCCGATGGGCCAAATGGCCTAATTTCTGCTCCTATGTCTTATGGTCTTATATATGGAACAGACAAGTAGTCTCACAACATTTGAGAAGCATCTGGATGAATGTTAAAATGCCATGGCATAGCAGACTATGGACCAAGTGCAAGTAAATGAGATTGGTGTAATTTGGTGGTCAGCATAGACAAACTGGGCTGAAGAGCCTAATTCTATGCTGTATAACTGTATTGAATGTAACTAACCATGCAGCCTCTACTGCCCTCTACAATTAAGAGATACACAAATTCATTACTCTGAGAGAAGAAAATCCTCCTCATCTTTGGCCGAACTGGGTGACCCCTTACTTTGAGATTACCTCTTGTCCTACCCTCTTCCACAAGGGGAGACAACCTCTCTGTATCTACTCTGTCAAGTCCCCTAAGACTCTTATATACTTTGGCAGGGTTGCCTCCCATTCTTTTAAAATCTGATGAGTACAGGCCCGACCGACCATATCTCTCCTAATAAAACAAATCCTTCGTTCCTGGGGTCAAACTAGTGAACGTTCTCTGGACTCCCTCCAATACCAGTATATTTTTCCTTAGATAGGAGACCAAAACTATTCACAATATTCCAATGTGGAAGAGAAAAAATGTGCAAAAACAAAAAACAACAATCTTAAAACAATTATGTAATATTGTGATATCAGCTTTATTGAAAGTAAGTTTGGATCTATCTCAGTAAATAACATTGTGATATATTAACTCACTCTATCTAGTTTTAGTTAACAATACATTGCAGTATAGCAATACTGGCTAAGTACAACATTCATACTTAAAAAGTTACAAACGTGACCCAGCTTTAAATCAGTAGAAACAAATTCAAAATAAAGCACAGTTAACAACAAGCTAGCATACTGAATAAACATCATCACAAGTAATTACTGCAAAAAGACACAAATGGCGATTTACATCAAAACATTAGTGTTCAACCAGAAAAATGCACATTTAAACTGTAATAGTGTTATAGCTACAATGCAGTTAGTTGTTGAAGGCTTTAAATGGCATACCATTAAGATTCACAAAAGTCACCATCTGACTGCATCTCAAAACTCTATAATAGTCATTCAATATAAGAAATTAAATACAGATTTTTTTTGTATTTTTGTGAACTTTTACCAATAATGGAAAGAGAAGACAATTATTATTTGGCATTTCAGAATATACACAGATAAATAGGCCATTTACCTTATCAACATTGCTTTGAAATTTTATTAGCCACAACTCTGTTTCTTCAATACCAATTTTTCCATATTCCCTAACACCATTACTTCTCGAGTAAATACCCAATTTGCTTTTAAACGTTTCAGTTGATTTGGCATCTCTGGTGACCTGAAACCTTTTCTGTGCATTTCACATGGTTACATTTTTTTGTGCATGAAATAACATTTTCTTGATTCATTTGAAACTGACTCAGTTTGAATTTTAAAATAATGTACATTTGTTCTAGTTTCCCTCACTAGAGAAATCAATGATTCTCTATCTAATCTATCAATTCTTTCATATTAAACATATTAATATACATTTGTATGTGATGAGCACCAGTGATATTGTTCATATTATTGTGGCATTAGCCTATAAAGACATTGCAAAGTAAGTTGTGCTTTTACATTTACTTACAATACTGTCACAGTAACTGACATTGCAACACATCACACAATACACAGCCACATAAAGAATAAACAACAATACATTTTGGAACATAAGTCACTTCATTAATTCACAGTGTGTAATAGATGTGGTAACTTGTAATCTTCTTTCTAAGTTATTCAATTATATTCCTATATCTGAAGTTGGCCTCTTCTGACTAACAGTGCTTTATTTATTGGGGTCATGAGAAATGACAGAGACATATATATGTAATTCTTAAAGGTTTCGTCTGATGGACCTTCGTCTTCTACTATAATAATGCCTGAGCGTATGTTGCCTTGAGAAGTTCATCATGTAGTTCTGTTTTCGTGTCCTACAATGAAAGAATAAAAGAATGAATTGAATAAAGCACAACAATATGAATGTGCTCAAATAAACCAACTTTCTATCTCATATATGTAGACTTTATACCAACAAAATCTGGCTGATAGCTTTTCTTTGATTTTGGAATCTGTAAGAAGCATAATCTTACTTTGTGACAATACAGGGAGATCACGGAATACCAATAAATCATCCCTTTTACAATTCAACACTCAGAATACTTACAGGACCACTTCAACGTGATCCAAAGCCCACTGGTCATGGCCTGTTCCATTATGACGTGGCTGCCACCACCGTAGCTGTACACCTTTAATTCGTGCCTCCCTGTAGTAACAAAGATTAAGGTATTAACTCAGTTCTGAAGAAGTCATATAAGGCTTGAAACATTAACTCTGTTTCTCACTCCACAGATGCTGCCAGACCTGCTAAGTTTCACCAGCATTTTCTGTTTTTATTTCAGATTTCTAGCATTTGCACTATTTTGCTTTTATTTCAGATGCAGTTCTTGGATTAAAATAGCTTTACAATATTTGAGATCAATTTGTTAGTTAAGCTTTTAAGAGTAGTGATTTCCTTTGTATCTTATGTATTATACATAAGGAGTACATTTCACTGTAGTGACTACGAGATACACCAGCAAAAATACACTTTGAGGATAAGTGAGTTTAAAGGCAATTATCCCTTTGCTTCAGGCAAAATGGCATTTCTGTGTAAGATTAAGGATCTCCATTCCCCAGGGCAGCAAGTATTTCCCTGCAATATCAACAGGAAGTACATGACTGCTTTCCAGGATTTATACAAATCAATCCTTTTTTTTAAGTGTGATCGTAAAACACCTTTTTTAAAAAAAAATTCTGCCCATTTTTTGGATTTTGCAAGGACAATTCATGCAGTTACTGACTTTACAATTGACTAAACGCCACTAAAAGTGGTTCAAATGCAGCTGTATATCGGAGGTGTAGATTCCATCCTCATGTGAACCCAAGATGGGTTAAGGTGGTCCTGCAGATTCAACATCCAGTCTGACTTCATCTCATTTTTCTTACATACATAAACATGCAAAAATACAACAATGGAACAATTGCAAGTGAGCACTTTTTTCTTTTTTGGGGACTATAAACTGAAATTGAATTTAGACTGCTATAAAACTGAAATAACAGGAGGATTTAAATAAATTGCTGCATATTTTTGAGCTGTGCAATGCTTTTCGAAGCACTGAGGAAGAGAATTTGAGACAAAGCAACACTGATAATCTTTTAAGGAATTTCTGCCTGACAGCAGCCCTTTGACAGATCGAGCTGTAGAATATTACAAGTTGTAAGTGCCAGGGCAGAGAGAAACATTCGGAGCTATTCTCTGGTTCACTGCTTATTGTTATTTGAGGCCTCCCCGACTTCCCCCTCATTTGGATTGCTGGGAACTCAATGGTGGAAGAGTCCAGCATGATGCAAAAGAAAAGGCTGAAGGATTTACAGCAATCTTTAGCCAGAAGAACCAAGTAAATGATCCATCTCGGCTTCTTTCAGTGGTCCCCAGCTTTATAGATACCAGTCTTCAACCAATTCAGTTCACTCCATGTAATATCAAGAAATGGTTAGAGGCACTGGATAGTACAAAGGCTGTAGGCTGTAATCACATTCCAGCAATAGTACTGAAGGATTGTGCTCCAGAATTTGAAGCTCCCCTAGCCAAGCTCTTCCAGTACAGATTCAACACTGGCATCTACCTGACATTGTGGAAAATTGCCCAGGTATGTCATTTTCACAAAAAGCAGGACAAATCTAAACCAGCCAGTTACTGCCCCAACAGTGTACTTTCAAATCATCAGTAAAGTGATGGAAAGTGCATTGTGGCTCAATCTCTAAGAAGGCAGCTCACCACCACCTTACCTTCTCAAGGGCAACTAGGGACAGACAATAAATGCTGGCTAGCCAGCGATGCCCACATTCCATCAGTGAGAGATTGGTTGACTGTAGCAGAGAGCCCAAATCGAGCCTGCAACTTGCCACTGGCTAGTTAGGGGTGTTTCAAAATGGCTCAGGTTTTAGGCCAACACTAATAAGCTGACATCCCATATTGGGTCCAACCTGAAAACTGTCCTCAATTTTTTTGGTCAAAATTGATGAACATAGAAAAGTATCACACTGTGAAACGTGATCATTCATAGTCAAGCTCATAACAAGACTTCTGTTTGCATATCACCCTGAAAAATTGCTCCACTTCTGCCTTAAAAATATTGAATGGTCCTGCCTCCACCACCTTCTGAGGCAGAGTTCCAAAGTCTTATAACCTTCTGACAGATAAAGGTTTCTTGTCATCTGTGCCCTGAAAGGGTGACCCCTAATATTTGAACAGTGCCCTTTGTTCTGGATTCACTCACAAGAGAAAACATCTGTTGCGCTTACACCTCTTCAAGACCATTCAGGATGTTATACAGTTCAATCAAGTCACCGCTCACATTTCCAAATTCCAAAGGGAACAAAATAAACAAAGGACTGCAGATGCTGAAGATCTGAAACAAACACAATCAGAAAATGGCAGCCTTTGTGAAGAGGAAACAGGGTTAACATTTCGAGTTCTTTGACTCTTTTTCAGAACAGAAGAGTCAAAGAACTCGAAATGTTAACACTTTTTTTTCTCCATTGATTCTGACAGACCTGTTCAGTTTCTCCAGCAATTTCTGATGGTGTTTGTTCCAATGGGAACAAGCCCAATGTGTGCAATTCTTCCTCATTAGACAACCCACTCATTTCAGGTATCTGTTTAGTAAACTTCACATTCTTCCACCTTATTCTAAGTCTTCCAGATTTTTTTTCCCATAATTCAATCTACCCATATTATCTGCATGCTCCTATGTCTTCTTCACAATGTACATTCTTACCTAGCTTTGTGCCCTTGTAATTTTAACTACTATGCCTTCTCTCTGTCATCTAAGTCATTGATTTGAATTGTAAAAAGCCAGGGGCTCACACACATCCCTTGGAGACTTTACACCTCACATTCTGACAGAGACCTGTAATGTCTCCAGATCAAGCAACATCTTGAGTTTAAAATTCACATCCTTGTTTTCAAATCCCTCAATGGCTTGCCCTTCCCTATCTTTGCAACCTCCACTAGTCCCAACAATGCTCGGAGATATCTGTGTATGTCCAATTCTGATCTCTTGCACATCTTTAATTTTAATAAAACGTATAGCTTTGCTTTGAATACCCAGCCTAGAATCTTAACAAGGCATTTATAGATGTGCCAATAGAGGAATTCTGAGTCAAATATACCTGACATTACAGAAGTTGATTTTATCTTCATATGTACGTTAGACTTTTGAGAGATTTCTCAGCTCTCAAGGTTAGATACTTACAGGGGGACATTGTAAGATATCCTTTGGGGATGTACAAAATCCTTTGGTTGGTGCTGAGCAATAACGTGCCATGCAATTCCTCCATTCAGACTGTACTGTAGCAGGATGACCTTGTCTGCGATGTTAGGGTCAGTTAGGTCAACATTGCAGTGCCGTGTCTGTGTTATGCTGCCAATCTGCAGCACAAACATGATTTTGCTAAAGAGAAAATATGTTTATTGTTCAGCAAAAATAGTGTCAAAATGCGAAAGAAAAAGCTACAGTACAGTCAAGATTCCCTTGGATGAGTATGGCAATAGTCTTAGAAGATCATCAAACAATTTTATATAAATTAAGCTGAACAAAGAAGAGGGCAAGTCTAGAGGATTTACTTTGAGATAAACAAGTTCTCCCATTGTCTGTGGTAAATTAGAAAATTGTGTAGATTTTATTTAGAGATTTAAATAACATCTGTTATTTCTGCACCAGGAAGATGCAAATTGCTACCTAGAGTAGTTTCTTTTGCTGTAATGGGATATTCAACCTTGGGCCAACATGAGAGATGGTCTGGAGCTAAGTTGGTTTAGGGAAATACCTTAGTGGATGACAGTTGGACAGGGACCCAGAGCCCAATGTGATGACACACCCAGTCAAGATGAAGGAACCCAATCTGGGATGTAGATCATTGCTCCCTGTCAAGAATTAGTCAAGAGGAAATGACGCCTTACATGGCGGTTTTCTATTCTGGCAAGAAATTGTACTGCAGTTCCACCCAGCGCACCTAGCTCCTTAAGCATCCTAATTTAACAATCCCATCTAACAGTTTGGGATTTAGTGATTCAAAGTTTAGTCTTTCTTGAGAGTTTTGAAATTTAATTGAGCTAATTGTATTGCTCAACACGTGTAATATGCAAGAATTGTTTTCTAAATTTTCTTGAACAATTGGCCAATAACCGTAGGAATTGTGATATGGAAGGATTTTCAGTGGGGTCTTCAGAAGAACACAAAGGTTTTACCCTTTAGCAATTCAAAACTCAAATCACACAATTATTTCTTAAAGAAAGTGTACCTGGCCCTTGTCAAATCTAGAAGCTTGGTTACAGCCTGTCTCATCTGACAGCCATTGAAGTACAGTGACTCCCCATGGGCATAGGGAGCCAGCTGACCACATCCACTGCCAATAGCTCCTCCCTGAATCACCTGCCAGTTTATTTCTGTAACACGTGGTGATTCAAAGTTGTCCTTGATGTAACTGCGGAGGTCATTGGTTGGAACGGAACAGTCATCGCCTGTGTATTGAAGATAAGCAGCTTTTAGGCAAGGTGGGATAAAGAAGCAAGCAATCAACTTTTTTAAATTTTTCCTTTTCAAGGTCACCTTTTTTGTTGAGTATTTGAGTTATAGTAAGTTGAGTTTTGTTAGAGTAATTTTTATCAATTAGTTTAGAACATACCCAGATAGGGAGTAAAGAAACCTCCTGCGTTGAGAAGCTTTAGAATCCAAATGTCTAAAGACACCTGTTCCTTTGAATCAGTTACACTCATGTCTCAAGTTACTCATATTCGATCCCAAAATTTTATTTTCTGACTGTTAGGATATTAAGATGGATTGTTAAAATCTTGGGGAGTCTTGGCAAGAATAGACACTAATGTTTTAGAAAAATATAGTGGTGTGATCATTACCTGTCATATACCTCCCCATTTGGCAGCATTCAACTGATTAAACTTAAATAGAAAAGTTAGAGCCTGTACCTTGATAACCCTCATCACAAATACAGATTGTTCCAGTTCTACAGTATCCATGTCCACTGCAGAGCTTGGTACAGGCCTCTCCAATGTACACATTATCAATTCCCCAGCTTTGTTTTTCTGTGATGCCCTCCTTTTGAATCCATCGGAACCGAGTAGCACTGCAAACAGGACCATAAACATTAACTTAACTGGTTAATACGTTGGAATTTTAACAAAGAGCTATTATTTTATTTAACATGGGGAATGAAATTTACAAAAGCATTTATGGACCAGTTGAAGATTTATTAGAATAAAAGAAAACAGAAAATTGAGAACTGTTTAAAACAGCCTAATTATGGCAAAAAGAAAAGGGATTCTTGTCTGGATTAAATAGAAAGTCGAAAGTAGAGACAGGTGTTCAGTCAGGAAATTATAGGCCAATCAATCTTATTTCAGTTGCTAGAAATGTACTGGAAACTATGATAAAAGATTAATTTACTAAAACATTTGTAAGAAAAATAAGTTACCCAGAACTATGTGACATACATTTCTAGAAAAACAGTTCATGCTTGAACTGGTGTACTGAAACCTTGGATGAAATAGTAGAAAGAGTAAAAGGGAAAATGCAATGAATGAAGTTTAAGTGGATTTTGAAACTACTTGATAAGCTATCACATGAGAGATAGCTCAAAGATAGGAGACTAAAGATAGGAATTAAGGGGATCTCGTCACATGGATTGGACGGTTGAAACTCTGTGCTGGGACTTCTATTCTTTACAATATTATAAATGATTAGAATATAGAAAATTGATAGACAATATTAAAATTTCGTTAACTTCCTAAACTTGGGATGATAGCAATAGATTCAAGATTGTAACATTGTAGGAGGACATACGTAAGCCTAATTTGACTAGCAGAGAAATGGGCAGAAAGAGAGGTGATGATGGGAGAGGGAGGGTTGCATAGAATTAGGCTGCATTCTCTGATGTTTAGAAGAATAAAATGTTATCTAAAATATAAAACTCTTAGGAAGGATCTTGCTTTAACAGACAGTTCTTGAGAAACTGCTCTCCCCTATTAAGGTTGCAACAGCACATCCTTAATGGCATAATTGAGATGTATGAATGCCTTACTAGTCATAATATCATTATAAATAGGAGCAGGAGTAGGCTATTTGGCCTATCAAGCTCACTCTGCTTGCAAATACGATCCTGACTGTGGCTTTAATTCCACTTTTCTGCATGTCCAATAATCCTTTGAACAACAGACTTGAATGACCCAAATGCCCAATCCTTCCTCAGATGCTCCTTAACAAGAGTAAATCTCGATATCAGTGACACTGCATCAAAGAAGGCAAACCAATGTAAACCAGCTGGATTATTCCAGCATCTTACAATTAAGCATTTGCAATGAGTTTGGGGAATGATCTCCTTAAGAGGTATGGTTCAGCAGTGAGTCTATAGGTGTGAGATTGGAAAAGCACAGCAAGTCAGACAGCATCTGAGGAGCAGGTAAGTCAATGTTTCAGCCTCACATCTACAGACTCTGGCTTCCAGCATCTGCAGTTCTTATTGTCTCCATGGCTCAGCAGTGCAGCAGATTCAATGTCATCTTTGCAAGGTTACCTATAGTTGCTGCACAATGTACCCTAGCATGAGTACTACAATGTTGATCTCTGGGATGCTGCTGTGGTGTGACAAGTGGCAATCCTATTGCAACTACGAGACAGAAATTTGATCGCTGAGTTGCTCCATCATTTGTCTGTTCACTCACATTTGCTAACTACATTTTCTTTGATTGCTATTTGTTTCATCTTAGCATCCTGCCCTTTCACCTTGCAGAAGCCCACTAATGTGTTATGATTCCTTTTGAGATTTTTTCAAAGGCTTTTAACAGTGACAGTCTTCTTCAATTATCTCTATACTTTATTTTAGTTGTCACACTTTTCCTCTCTCATTACCACTTTGTATATAACAACGTGTTTTTGAAATATTCCAAACTAATTCAAAAGAGTGTTATCAGACAAAAATGACAATGATCCAGTGAAGGAGATATTAAGATAGAAAAATGATGATTAAAATCTTGGACAAAGTGGTAATCTTGAAGGTGGGGTTTGAAGACAGAAGTGCAGAGATAAGAGAGGTTTAGGATAGAATTCCAGAACTTAGGGCCCAGATGGCTACAGGCAAAAGTGCCATTATTAAGGGAAAGGAAGTGGGAAATGTGTAAGAGATGGTAGAGAAACACGGAGGGCCATGGTGCTGGAGGAAATTCACAGGTACAGAAGTGTGAGGCCATGGCAGGAGTTGAACAGGAGATTGAGAGTTTTAAAATTAAGACATTGGTGGACATTGAACCAGTGTAGGCCTGCAAGTATGGGTCAATGGATGAGTGGGAGTTGGTATTGGGATAGTTGAGTCTGGAGGCAAAAATGACATGGATGAGGAATAGATGGTCTGAGGATGTTAAAGATGGACATTGTCACAGAATTTGAAGAACACAGCCTTGAAGGTGGAGAGACTACATAGTCAGTAGCTCAGCTAGAGGTCAAATACATCCCTAAATACATCTGATTTAGTCTGCAACAACAGCCAGGGATCATTTTAGGATCTAGAAGACAAGAAGAAAAGTGAAAGGAAATGGCAACAAATAAAATTAAATAATAATGAGGAGTAACCTTTCCCTTTTTTAAACTGTACCTTGATGCAACATATTCAGGTAGTTGAATTGTGACCCTGTTCCAGCTAGAGCAATTGACGGAACTGTAAGCACTAGCTTCATGGAACTGGAATGGGGAACAACCAACATTGCTGCTTGTTGAAGGAAGACACTCCGTTTGCACAAGTGACCAGGAGTCTTTCCTGCAAGGTTAAAGAGAGAAATGCTTAGAACTCAGGTCCTTCTAAGATCATTTGGCAATGACACTTTTTAGTTTGAGATGTTTTATATGATAACAATGGGATCCAGCATCAAATGAAACAAAATCAATTTGATTGATTATGTTTTAAAGTTACTTTATATTTAGTAGCCCAGAGCGTCTCAGTGTACAAATTAAAAGGGCACTTTAACTGAGTCAGTGAGACCAGTAATAGATTGATGGAGGATAGCAACCTTCATCATCCCTTCACATCTCTTACCCACTCACCTCCAGAATTAAGAGTCTATCTTGCCCTATTAGCAGAAACACATGTTCAAAAGGAAAACTGTGCAGAAATAGGGTGATAATATTGCAGTCTGCCTTGACTTACACAACTTGTGACTATAACATCGCACTGGAAGCCTGGGATGGTGGAATTATCCGTTTAATATATTTCATATTCGAGGTCCTCATATCTGCTATTCCACAGGATAACAAAGTCCTACTCAATGCATCGACGGTGGCTCTCCTATTTTCTTTTTGGGAGGATACACTGATTTATAACTGAGCCAAAAAAAGTAACGCAATTTATTTATTTACGAAGTAGCTGATCTTGTGTGGCTTGCTGGTAGACAAAATGTCAAAAATGATGTAATTACAATTTGATTTACTTTACTTATTGGTGAAAAGAACTCAAAAGTTCTTGCAACATCATGATGTTTACAAAGAAATGTGAAATTTTCATGGAGCTGAAGTCATTAGTGAAAGTTTTGTGAAAATATTGTTTACCTGGGTTTCTGAAATTCCTTTACAGATTGTTACAGTGGTGCAACTGAGGGGAAGGGACCTTTTTTCTTTCCTCAAGAGTACAATTGGTTCCCTCTTTTGGGAATAATTTGGTCACAAAATATCACTCTGCAATGCCAACACTGCATGTATCATATATCTTAAAGACACACACTGCTCATAATTTAGTTGTGAAAAGTAAGACAGCAGGAGTAACAGGTTACTGGAATCACACCTGGTATACTGCATATTGAAAATACAACATGACATTTTGACAACAGAATACCAAATTTTACATCATTAACTGCTGAGTTCCCAGGTTGCTTGCGTTTGCAAAGTTTACTATAATGTTGAATTTACTAAAACTAATTATAATGTTCTTTCTATGAGCATTCCCATCTCTCAGTCACAAATCTTTTTTGGGATTGGCACTTACCTTGGATCCTTACTGTATTCCAGCAATACAGGCTGGAGATCGCCACAAGAATCTGCTTCGCAGCCAACTACAATCTGGAAACATATTATAGAAGATAAACTCTGGGAACAGTCCACTTAAAGAGCGTACAGGTATAACAAGGTACATTTCATGCTGGAGTAAAGTCACCATAGTCCTACTGTACAGAGGGCTGCTCTCCCATTAGAGAGAGACGACTAGTGTAGATTGAACACGTGCTGTTTGCATCACTCTGCGTTACCAATCTGCCATCCAGATAACAGAGCTAACTTGTACAAGTGGGACTTGTGTTTATTTGGACAGTATTCCAGTAGAATTTAGACCAGTTAGGAATTAGTTAGTAGTCGGGGTTTTGGGGGTGGGGTGGAATTGTTCAGTTTGTTTGTAATTCTGATAATTTGTTATTGTTAGGGTTAAATAAATAATTTGTTTCTCATTATTTGTCAGTGGAGATCAGGGATTTTCTTTCTTTTAGCCACACTTTTAACAGATTATGAAGGGAAAGACAAGCTTCTCTGGGTGTTTCGGGGTTAATTATAAGAAGGGAACACCTATTCCCTTCATAACAGGTTCGGACTTCTGTTTTGGCTTTAACTATCAGAGGGGTTTGGCCATACCCCCTCCGTAACAATAAGCAACAATAGAAGATAGAAAGAAAGAGAGAGATAAGAATGCACAAATCACAAAGTTTTTTTTAGCTCATCAAGCTGATTCTGTCATTTGTCAAATACATAGTTTGATGTGGTGCAATATTCAATTTTATCTCAAACTATTTTCTTATCACAGTAAAATTTTCACCAGTAGAACCACGTAAGAAACAATACAAAGTATCTGCTGTTTCTCCAAGGATAGTACTGGTCTCTTCCAAAAATTATTATTGGAAACTGGAAGAGTTCTGTGCCAGTGTAAGTCCTACTGCTTCAAGGCACTTAGACTTGCACAACCATAAACATAAACACTAAGAAAGTGCTATGACTCAAATTAGACATGTCAAAACCATGTTCCGAGCCCATTGTCCTACCTTTCAGCAATCTCCCACCAATTCTAGTCTTGCAGCTTCTTGCCTATCTTCCCTCTTCACTATAAAACTTGATCCCCATCCCATCCCATTTCTAACCACTGCAGTCCTTGATTCCCATACCAGCTGATAATCTATGCAGCTTCATTTTATCAGGGATTGCACTTTAATGGTAGATCCCTTCTAAACTTGTTATGACCCTTCAGCCCACTTCTTTATTCATTGTAAGTCTCCTTTTTAAAACTCCACTTTCCACTCACTGACATCTTCAATCGCCATCATATTTTCAGTTTTACTTAGTGTTATTGCACCTATGCTGTTATGAGTTCCCAAATTGTTCCGTTTGAGTCACCCTCAATACAGTTTCTATTCTTTCATGGCATCAAACTAACTTCAGGTATTTAACACCTTCCGTATCCCTCTTCCTCAACCTTCCTGCAAGATTTGATATAGCTGACTGTGTCATACTTCTACACTTCCCCTTGTCCAGCACTACAGGATTTCCCTTGGTGGTTCGATTCACACATGTTTGAAGGTAGCTACTGCATTTCTATCAGTGACTTCTCTTCCCTTCTTGTCCTCTACATGTTAGTTACTGGGAATCTAAAGATGTCACCTCAATGCCAGGCCCGATTTAACCACGGATTTGAATGTTTTTGTAGAAACTGGTAACCTACTAACTCAAATCTATGTAGGTAAGCCAATCTGCTCATATCCTTTCATGTGCTGTTTTCCTCCACAACACCTGCCACTTAAGTTCTCCTCTTCAACTGCCAAAACACCCTAAATCAAAACAAAAGAAGAAATTCTGCCTATACTTGCACCATAGCTAATGCTTATTCATAAACAATTGAAAGATAGGATTCAGTTCATGGTGCTTTAGAGAAACTGCTGTCACAACAGAGGAGCAGCTAGACAAGAAAAAATGTAACAGTATTGATTAAAAAATAAACGTTAGATGCTCTTAAAATAAACTATTGTTCAGGCAACATGTATCCAGTACATATGCTCTTGGCAGGCTTGTCAGATTTGGAACAGAGCACTATGAGTTTGAAAGGGATTAATATAACTTAATATTACTTAAAACTGTCAAAGACAGACATGGAAATCCATGTGCTGGCAAGCATAACAGTAGTAGGAACAATCTTCAAATACATGTTAAAAGATCTTTTAGTCAATCATTTGGAAAAGTATTTTCTTGCTGAGGACGACCACCATGGACACAGTTATGGATATAACGTTTAACTAGACAGTTTAAGTTTATAAGATGCAAGTTAAATATTGGAATTAAGTAAGGAAATCAAACAAAACATTTCTCTCCACAAGTAGTAATGCACATCACCGAAGATAATGAATTGTAATTTTTCTGGAGTATGTAATTGTGTTTTCTGGAAATAATGAGAGACAATCTCATTGAAACGTATAATATTCTTAGAGTCTTTGTTGTGATGCTGAGAGAATGTTTTTCCTTGTTGGAGTGTCCAGAGCTCGCGGTTATAATCATAGGGTAGGGTCGGCTATTTAAATTAAGTTGAGAAGAAATTTTTTCACTCAGAAGGTTGTGAACTTTTGGAATTTTTCACAGAGTGTTGTAGGTACTCTGTAGCTGACTACATTCAAAACTGGGATCAATAGACTTTTGGATCCATAGAAAATCAAGGGACGTGGTGATTGGGAAAGAGTGTGGGGTTAATGTAAAAGTGAAGGTGTTATCTGATTGAATGGCAGGGTAGGTTTGAGAGGCCTATCCTGGTGCTTACATGAAATAAAGGTAATGGTAAGTGAATGCTATAGAAAATGTGTGTTTTAAAGGAGATACAAAGTAGAGAGAAAGAATAAGAGAGTTTAGATTGAAGGATACTGCAGAAGGTGAACAGATGGGATTGTGAACAAGGGAAAAGGATGGAGCAAAAATATTTTATGGTCTTTTCATATTCAAGAGAATGGTTACATTCCTGAACAACAGGTCATAATTCTTTTGTGGCATTTTTATTATGGAACTAATTTACAGTGATCCCTTAATATAACTGAGGTAGACAAAGTATTAAATGATCCAAACAGAATCTTACCCTGAACTGCAGTATGTATCCTGGTGCTACAATAAGTTCCCGTGAAGCTAGGAAATTGTGCGTCTTATCTTTCTTTTTATTAGGCCAATAAAGGTGGAAAGAGGGATTACCACAGAAACCTGCTGTACGAACAGCATTAGGGTAGAAAATCCAGTTTTCCTCATGGTTAATACCTTCTGTTGGGGAAAAAATAAAATTCTTTAGGATAATAATAATACTGCTATCTATATTTTAGAATTTTACAGAACAAATCTGCCCCAATTATGTGATCAAGGTTCATATAAAAGTTTCTTGACCAGCACAAAGGAAGTCTGCAGTGCAGTGAACTAATTGCCTGCAAATTTGCAGATTAGTTTACTTTGAATAATTAATCATAGCAATCTGCTCAACTTCAGCATTTTGATTGGAATGTGAAAACTTAAAGGGAAACTAAATGCTTAGAGCTAGGCGGCCTGAAGGGGTATGAATACTGTTTTAGCTTTTATAAAGCACCAAGATACGTTTTAAATATTTGTCAGTGATTATTGAGGTTAGGAAGGTGGAAAACCAGAAGGTAAAATGTAAAGGCACAGATCGGTGTCTGCAGGCAAGTGTCAGAGTGATGTAGTAATGAAAGCCATGAATCAGTGAATACAATGGTTATCTACATGGTTTCAGATATGATGCAGAAAATGTTTTCTTCGAGAAGTCAGGCAAGGATTCACGTTCCATCAATGCGTAATACAACGTGTTCAACATTTAATGTGCTCACCCATGTCAAGCCCTCAGGCAAACTTACAGCTCTTTAATTGCATACCTATGCCTCAAGCTTGGTACACATTCATAATATAAAATATAGTTGAAAATCTTGCCACATTCACATTTTCCAAGGCGACCATACCTGAGCTCATTGTAATACAACCTATTTGCATGATGCAGTTGCTTTAGGCGTTATTCTGTAGTATTTGCATCATTCTGGCACTTGCCCTCAGGCACTGACCTGTGCCTTTATAGTTTGCCTGCCGGTTTTCCACCTTCTTGACAGTCACTGACAAATATTTAAAACCTGTCTTTGTGCTTTGTAAAATATGAAACAATATAGGGTTAAGAATTCAATTTCCCTTTGAATTTGAGACTTTTTTTCAAATTCCTATTTAAACTCATTTAAACTCAATTAACTAATAAGGATTAGAATACTAACCTCATTAATAGTGACCATGAAACTATCAGGATTACTGAAAAAAAGCCGTCTTGTTTACTGATTCCCTTTAGGGAAGGAAATCTGTTGTTCTTAGCTCGTCTAGCCTACAAGTGATGACTCTTAACCATACTCTGAAATAGCAAGCCACTCAGTTCAAGAGCAATCAGAGGAGGACTGGAAAGAGACACTGGGTTCACCTGCATTCATTTGTCTCAGAGAAAGACAGGATCATTATTGATAAATGGGCAGAAAGTCACTCAATAAAAAATATTAAGGTGAAGATAAGAGTGATTAAAAAAAAACTTCACTTGATTGAATGGCTGTAAAGGATGCTGCTGGAACCAAGGGTGCATCTTTCTTTTTGCTATTCATGTTAATGTCTTAAAATTGTCATTTATGCATCTAGATTTTTTTTCCCTTTTGTGTAACAAACATTTAATTTTGCTACAAGGACATTGGTAGCCTCATGTAAATTATATCGAGATGGACAAACATGATAACCAAACTGCAAAAATAAAACTTATGATCTATCAAATCAGGTTTCACTCTAAGATCTGACTTGTCCAAAATTACCATCATGGCATCTTTTCTGGCATGACCAACAGGTCCTGGTGGGAACTGTGGATGCATGTGTCTGGCTGTCTCCATAGACCAGGTGACCTCAGGTAAAGATAAAGGTGGGTTTCTACCTGTCTTTGTATTTCCCTGAGGAACTATCACAGGAAAATGTTGATCATTCACGTATCGGATGGAGAACCCCTTTGTAATGAGTAGATTTGAACTGGAAGAAAACAAATACCAAAGCCTGCAAAATAACGGGACTAAGTTGATAAAATAATTACAAAATACTGAAACCGCTTTCCGAACAATTCAACACATCTTTAGGAAATTTCTTGGTGAAAAGCTTTAAACTTCCTGTCCTCAAATGTACAATAGTTGAGACTGTAATTAACTTGGTTGGCGGTAATGCTCTCCACTGGATACACCTTCGCTCTGTGATGTCAGTGCTACAAAAGCTAATTGAGGGAATTTCTGATTATTCTGTTCCAGATTGTTTGCATATGTGATTGGCACTGGGCACTTCAAAATTTTCACTGTATGGTTCTGAATATCTACCAAGTCATAAGCTCCATTTATAATTTTTAACTGCTAAAAGGAGACAAGAAGTCAAAGCTTTTTGTCTTGCATTTATCAGGTCTAGGATACAAGCAGCAGTGTTTTTAATTTCTGTTAAAGATCATCACTTGGATTTACAATGTGATGCATTTTCCAGATGAAATACTTTGACTTCTTGTCTCCTCTTAGCAATGTTTAAGTTCTGTATTACCAAGCAATTCTTAATTGCCATCATGCCATTCACTGATCCAAAGTTTTCCATCTTACCATCGTCAAAAGAATCCATTAGTTGACTTGGGTTGATCTCAGATCCTCCAATCAGGATGTTATCCAGTGCCCATTGAGCACGCTCTTTGCTTGCTACAACCTGGCCTTTCAGAACAACAAAGGGCTGCCACCATCGCAGGCGAGTTGTATTGGTGTGTGCCTCCTCTGGGAGGAGGACATAATCTTGGCGCACAGAAATATATTTCTGGTAATCCATTTCATGCAGCAGATGCCAAGTGATTCCTACCGACATTAGAAGTTCGTTAGTATCAGAGTTTATTATTTCAACAGAAATGTAATTGAAGAATTTTCTTAAAGTTCACTATGCCTGTATTTTTAATTATCGTCTTTTCCAAATTTTGACCATGGATGGAATCGTCGCATGGAATTTTTAAGTACAGAACAAGCTGTTTGGATCAACAGGTTTATGCTGATGATTATGCTCCCGACAAACCTTCTCCCAACTTACCTCGTCTCAACTTGTCAGCAAATCTTTCTACCACTTTCTTTTAAATGTGCTCATCTAATGCCAAGGTTATGATTGGCTCGCTTTATAATCATTATGAAAGTCAAAAACCTCTAGCTGCTAACGCATGCAAATGATTGAGAAAAATTGTGCCAATTTAAAGATATTCTGTCATTGAGAAGTGCAGCAATGACCTATGAAGGAAATAGCTGGCCATTTTGGGAAAAGGAATCAGAGTTAAGATTGTTGACAATTCAGGGAAGACATTAACAAGTATCAAGATTGAAGTGAGCTGTAACACTTTTAAATCGGAGATCAATTCGTATTTTTATTATTAGAAATGAGTTATAATACATTAGGGTATTTTAAAAGGTAGCTCCAATTTTTAAAAGTTCCTCCGTAGGCAGCTACAGTTATACAGCCTTTATACCTGGAATTTTCTCAGAAAAAAAATATGACAGCCACATTGCTGACTGAACCTTTTCAGGATTTTTTGATTCACCATAATTAAATATTTCCTGTGATATTTTGCCTGAAATAAAATGACACTCTGGCAAATTCATAGCGAATATGGTGGAGGATAATAGAAATAAAGCACAAAGTACAGGTCAGTAGTGACAGTGTAGAGTAGGAAGATAGTATGGGGAGAAAATGTCTCCCAAACCACAATATCTGATATTAGCTACAGGAACTTACGGAGTTCCTGCACTTGGTAATCAATCTTTCTGTCACAAACACCAATCATTCTGAAAGCTTTATCTCTGTTCATTCTTCTCAAATTAGTCTGATACAATATATCATTTTGACATGGTTAAGAAGCAATGAATTAGAGAAAGTTATACAGTTAGAGAATAAGCCTCACCTCCATCAGTGGAGTAGTCCAACAAAACCCCTTCTTTTCTGCAAGTTGGCTGATGACAAGTGGTCATGTTATTCTCGCTGCCTATTCTGGCCCAGTATTGCACAAATCTGGATATAAGAGATAAGATTTAATGTTGCATACTTGAAATTCTAAAGGAGACACTAACATACCTTGAAATAGTAGAGAAGTGCCTATTGGTACTAGGCAGAAACTCTTTAGTAGGAGAGGAGATTTTCAAAGTTATTCAACAGGTGCACATATCATAGAATCACATAATCCCTACAGTGCAGAAAAAAAGCCTTCTTGGCTCACTGGATCTGAACTGACCCTCCAAGCAACATCCCATCCAGATCCAACCCTCCACCCTATCCCCATAATTCTGCATTTACCATGGCTAACCCACCCAGTTTGCACTACAAGGTAAATTATCATGGCTAATACACTTAACCTGCACATTTTTGGACTGTGGCAGGAAATCAGTGCACCCAGCAGAAACCCACACAGACATGAGGAGAATGTGCAAACTCCACACAGTCACCCAAGGCTGAATTTAAACCCAGGTCTTGGCGCTGTGAGGCAGCAGTGCCAATCACTGAGCTACCATGCTGCTCTAATTTGTAGGTATTAATTTCTCACAATCAGAACATTGCATCTAGAATAGCTTACTATCAAATAAAAACTCTGTACCCATTTGTGGTTTTGTCTTTCAGGAATTGCAAATCTTAGAAATGATGTAAGTATAACGGGGCAGGAAGGCTGTTTTTTAAATAGTCTAGAATCATATTTTGCTTGTAACTTCTACTCCTGTCCTTGTTACAGCACATGGGTTCAGGGTCATCTTAGTTACACATTTCTGTCAGCTAACTGAGTCATTGAGGGTGCCCAGGGAAGGGGCGCAAAACGCACCATCAGAGTGCTAGCTGGAGGTGCTGGTGCTGGCTTAGTTATACTGGTGATCACACCCAATTGGAAGAGGGGATGATGAAGAGAAATGGCCAGTGTCAGTTCTGGGATCTTCTAGTCACAACCCTTCCCGGAAGATCTCTGCAGCCCAACAAGCAACTCTGCAAAGCCATCAGGGATGCCAAAAGTTGGTACCGGATCAAGTTAGAAGCCCAAACCTACCAAACAGATTCCCACTGCCTTTGACAAGGCCTAAACAACATTACGGGATACAAAATGAAGCAGAACAAGATAGCAGACAAAGACACATCCCTCCCTCATGCGCTCAATGCTTTCTATGCTCAGTTTGAGCAGAATGCCAGCGGCGCAGTGACACTTTCCCCAACAGCCCCAGACATACCTCCTCCCCACTGTCACCGCTGCAGACATTAGATCGGTCTTCCTGGGAGTCAACTCAAGGAAAGCGACAGACCCGGACAATGTCCCCAACCGAGCACTCAGATCCTGCGCGGACCAACTGGCGGAGGTACTCACCAACATCTTTAACCTCTCTGTCCTACAGGCCGAAGTCCCCACCTGATTCAAGAAGACCACCATTATCCCCGTACCTAAGAAAGCACATGCAGTGTGCCTTAATCACTACCACCCAGTGATTCTGACCTCAGTAATCATGAAGTGCTTCAAGAGGCTGGTCACGGCCCACATCAACTCCAATCTCTCAGCCTGCCTCGATTGCATACAATTTGCCTATCAATGTAACAGGTCCACAGCGGATGCCATATCCCTCGTCCTGCACTCATCCTTGGAACATCTGAACAACAAATATACCTACGCCAGACTCCTACTCATTGACTACAGGTCTGCCTTCAACACCATTATCTCCTGCAGACTGATCTCAAAACTCCGTGACCTTCATCAAGGCTCCGCTTGCTACAATGGGCTCCGCAACTTTCTGACCCACAGACCGCAACCAGTGAAGTTAGGTAACTGCACCTCTTCCACAATAACATTCAACATTGGAGCCCCCCAAGGATGCGTCCTCAGCCACTACTGTATTTCCTGTGTTGCTGAATTCCAAATGAATGCCATCTACAAGTTCGCTGATGACACCACCTTAGTGGGACGGATATTTAACAACAAGGAGTCAAAATACAGAAGGGAGATAGAGGGCTTGGTGATGTGCTACAATGAAAACAACCTCTCCCTCAATGTCAGCAAAACTAAAGAACTGATCATTGACTCCAGAAAGTAAGGAGGAGAAAATGCCCCCATTTATATCATCAGAACTGAGGGTGGAGAGCATCGAGTTCCTCAGAGTGACGATAACTGACAACCTGTCTTGGACTTCCCACATAGATGCAACACTCAAGAAGGCACAACAACGCCTCTTCTTCCTCAGACAGCTCAGGAAATTTGGCATGTCCATAAGGTCCCTCACCAACATCTACAGATGCACCATTGAAAGCATACTGTCTGGGTGTGTAACGGCCTGGTATGGCAACCGCTCTGCCCAGGACCGTAAGAAACTATAGAAGGTGGTGTGCACAGCCCAGACCATCATGGAAACCAACCTTCCATCCATAGACTTCATTTACACGGCTCGCTGCCACAGAAAGGCTGCCAACATCATCAAAGACCCATCACATGCTGGTAATGACCTTCTACAACCTCTTCTGTCAGGCAGAAGATACAGAAGCCTGAACACATGCATGAGCAGATTCAGGAACAGCTTCTTCCTGGCTGTTGTTATTAGACTGAGGAATGGACTGTCTAGGCTCAAATGATGCTGAACTTGCTATCGTTGATGTTGCCTAGTGCACGCCCCATGCCATGTAACATTTATGCCTCTGCCTAAGTCTTTTTGATCTGTACATCCTTGTTTACTACTATCTGCCTGTACTGCTTGTAAACAAAGCTATTTGCTGTACTTCGGCACACGTGACAATAAAACAATCAATCAACCAACTTTTGCATAAGAAATAACCCTATCGCATCGTCTGATTTTCAACTATTTTCTCTATTCAGGTGATTATTTGTCTCTGCTGCAGGGTAGAAAGGAGACTGCAGCTTTAGGAATTCTACTGGGAACAACAGTCTCACTAATCCTGCCTCCTTGTCACGTATGGGACAAATGGAAAATCCAGAGTTCAATTGTCAACAACCCATTAAAACCTTTGTGATTACTCTTTTGGACAAAATTGCACCTTCCCTACCGGTCCTCTTCCACCTATTTTAATTTCCCATATTCTGTCTCAACTCACAGTCAAAATCAGGGGCAATCAATTCAGTGCAGTAGTTCTGAAGAAGGGTCACTGGACCTGAAATGTTAACTCTGCTTTCTCTCCACAAATGGGCGGCACTGTGGCTAGCACTGCTACCTCACAGTGCCAGGGATTCAGGTTTGATTTTCTTCCCACAGTCCAAAGATGTTCAGGTTAGGTGGATTGGCTATGCTAAATTGCCCATAGTGTCCACGGTGGGAAATACAGAGATGGTGAAGGTGGTGGGTCTGAGTGGAATGCTCTTGGAGGGTCGGTATGGACTTGATGGGCTGAATGGTCTGCTTTCATACTGTAGGGATTCTGTGCTATGCTGCCAGATCTGCTTTTTCCATTAATTCCTGTTTTAGTTCAGCAAATGTGGGGTATCTTTGAAGCTTAGGTTGAAGTTGAACTCCTTCCTCTCTTAATTGTTTTTCTTTTTCCAGCTCTTAAATGGTTTATACTTATTTTGTGCTCATCAAGTGAACAAAGTTCACATTTGGCTGGGAAATTTAACATTTCCTGTTTCAGACACCTGAGAATAAGTTTCCCTTATTGTGCTCGTGTGTGAACAATCATCTGAATGGAGACCATTAGACAAATGAGCAAGCTCGATTGTGGACTTTCCTCATCTAATCTGCACAAATACTTTACTCAGTTCAGGTGATATTTACACCAACAACAAGATAGGAAAATCATTCATTATAAAGCATTAAGTAATCCCAGATAAGGAAGTGAATATAGATAGAGAACAAGCCCACCTTTAATCGCTAATACGTGACAAGAACCATCTGGTACAGCAGTGTGTTTTTTTATTTCTGAAAACAACAATTTTGTGATCTCCTGAAGCAATTTTGCCAGTTAAGCATTGGTTAGCATCAAATTAGTGGCAGTTTTGTGCACCCATATTTGAAAGCCAATTCTGATTGATTTAACCAAAGAATTTTGTGACACCTTTATGAAAGGAAACTTGATATAGAACTAGCTACATAAAACTTACTTTGTACCCCGAAGATCAAGGTCTGTAGTTATTGCCTGCCTCATGCCTGCTCCATTGAAATACAAGGGCAAATCTTCCACAAGGACACCACAGTCAGTGCATGCTTTCCCACCTTCCAGAGAAATCCATAGGTCTGATTTCATGGCATCACTCTCAAAACGCTCCTTTAATGAAGTCTGTAACACATTGAACAACCAATAATTACATGGATCAAAGGCAGTGAAACTTTTCTCCCTCCAACTTGGGTTATTATCCAACAAAGTGAATAAAATACGTTTAAGCTGTTTTTGTTCTTCCTTTTCTCTGATTCCATGGTTTATGTAGTTCTTGCACAAAGAGAGGTGAATTATTCTCAAGTACCTGTCTTTCTGCTTTATATGTGGCCTCCAGGAACTGTGTGACAGCATTTACTAGTAACCTCCACCACCACCCACCCCCTCCCATGCCTTTAGAAGTGTCTGGCCTCTACTTGGCATCTCTCAATAATTGTATGATTAGGATTGTTTAGCAGTAATTAATACATAATAACCACAAACTACCAGCATGTTAAACAATCACAAGATGTCATGTGGATTGGCAGTATTCCAATATCATTACATTCTTCCTGATTGAGCTTCGACAGTCAGCCTCTGACAACACTTTGTGACTGCAAGCAGTATTTTGTTCTTCCCAACGTCCTATACCTTCCAACTGAGGTTACTGATCAGTGACCATGAGTGGAAAGGTTCCACAGGGGTTACTGATGCTCATCATTTCAAATGCTGCTGTGATTAGGATCAGCTAACTCAGCAGAAATAGGAAGTTTAATCTTCTGGTCTGTATGGCTTAAAATTACAGTAGCCAGTGCCTCTATCAATAATAAATCATTTATCAATGAAGTTATTAAGGAAGTTATCCCAAAATATTGTTAGCAGATAATGATTAAATCTTTCACTGATTAATATCAATGATTATTATCTAGAAGTGGGCATTTGATCCATTTTTGGGCAAGTGCAAAACTGAGCAACATTCACTGAAAAAGCCATGGTCTCACACATTCTTTTAACAGCTAGAGTTTTATATACTTAATTTGTTGTGTATCTGAATAATGAAAACCACCTGTAATGAATCACATTAATTACTAATAAAAAGATGAAAATCGTTTGTGTTGAGCTGTATAAACGATCATAATATCCACTTCAGTCTGTTACTCTCGACTCAAAAATACATCGTCTGTGAATTTTCAGATAAATATTCTGCTCGTCTTGAGTTCTTAGGAAATCTTGCATAATCCAATAATACCTTTAGAGGCTGACTCAAGTAACAATTTGACCCAGTGAAGCCAGGGTCACAGTAGCACTGTTTATTCAGGCAGTCTCCATGTCCTCCACAATTATCTGGGCAAGCAGGCCCCACATAGAAATTGTCAATCGCCCACTGGATATCGGAATACTTCTGATAGAATCGGAATCTGACAGGACTGAAATAGAATAAAATGTGTTAATTTAAATTCACTTGAAATTTGCCCAAGAGTCCCCATATTCCAGAATGATAATCTTGTGAAAATGAAGCAAGTTAAGAAAACTGATCAAAGATATTGACAAAGCATATTGACAAAAGTATTTTGATTATTCAATCAAAATTGTCATGATTTTCCTTCTGCATCCTTTCTCAGTTGCACAAATGCTCTAGCAGATAGGGAAATTAAAATATACAGCAGGCTCTCCTTTGTTGCTTTTTTTCAGGCCAGTTTGTTATTGGTTACTATCAGTGGAACTGATCCATTGCTCAGAGCAACATGGAGTCAGGTTTATTGCCAGAAAAAAATGATTCATTTATTCACTTGGCTGAAGAATGATGAAAGGCGCTGTGTATACCGTGGACAATTTCCAGCACTGCCTCAGGCCAGTGGTGTTCAGCAACTACTGTAAACTAAGCGCTGAGTACTGACCACTGACTTCAAAAAGCTATTTAACATTATTTCCATACATCTAACACTGATCTTATTCATTTTGGAACAGAATATTATCAATAAGCATCCATGAAATATTCCAAATATTAAAAGCCCTCCGTGATACTTAAGAATCAAAGGTTGCTTGTATTAAACTTTGACGTTTCAGTGGAGTCCAAAACTAGTGGGCATAGGTTTAAGGTGAGGGGAGAAATATTTGTAAGGGAGCTGAGGAGCAACTTTTTCATACAGAGGATCGTGCGTATTGGAGTAGGCTGCTAGAGGTGGTGGTAGTGCCAGGTATAATTACAGCATTTGAAAGACATTTGGACGGGTACATGGATTAGAGAGGTTTAGAGGGACGTGGGCCAGGTGCAGGCGGTGGACCTGGTTCAGTTTAGGAAACCTGGTCAGCATGGACAAGTTGAGCTGAAGGGCCTGTTTCTGTGCTATATATCTCTATGACTATTCCTTTCACGTACATTTGTAAACATTGATTTCAAACAATGCTGTTTAGCCTCCTCTAGTCACATGCTGGGGGTTCAGTGAAAAGTAGAATCAAAGCTACACAGTAGGTATGCAAGTTGATTGCCATTTCTCTTCTCAAGGGAACTTATAGCCAACTGTAATCTTTAGGTTAAGCTGATTCATATGCAGACACAATTCAGTCTTCATTTCAAAGATATAAATTCAGCATTCGTGTTTGTATTTACATTACAAATGTTTATGCAAAATTTATAATGGAAATCATCTTTGTAAAGGTGCCATGTTGTAGTTACTCAATTCTGCCAGTGGTAACATTGCAGTGCTTTCAATAGGATGGTGGTGTCATAACCATGAGTCAGAACCTCAAAGTACTTATTTAACACAGGGCTGAGATAGCTAAAACTGGCTGCAGATTTAAATTAATTGACTAGATGGAGAGAGAGGCCTATGGAATTAATACCTAGAGCTGCGAAGGAAACTTCAAACAACAAGCCTTCATGGAGGTGAGTGGGGGCAGGGGGCAGGGGGCAGAGAGGCAAGTCAAACAGACTGGACTGTAATCTCTTGTGACTACAAAAATAACAAGGGGTGATGACCCTCTGCTCAACAGCAAACCCTGTGGATTATGATGCAAACTGCAAATTCCTTTAGTGTCTTTCCCTTTGAAAAATACACATGGATAGGGGCTAAAAAGATAGTAACAAATCTACTAGAATGTGCTGGTGGCACTAAACATTCTTGTGTGTGCTGTGAAAGTCACAGTCAAAGAGCTATGCTCTGGTTACCTCTGTGTTGCAGGTTAAGAGCCTTTTTTTTCTGATAGCTAAAAGGTAACCAGCCAAAAAGAAACAGAACAACAAAATGACTCTCTCTCACACTGAATGCTGGAATTCAATTATGGCCAAAGGAATCAGAACAACAGAATTTTATCCAATTGGCAAAATGAAAGATGATAAAACTGACTGTTCAACTTCTAAAGTCAATGCAACCAGTAACCTCCATGACAACACACACAACTTTCAAAAATCTGCTCTTTGTGAATAATTCAAGGACTGATCCATATAACCTGTGTTTTACTTTTATCTTTTAAATTTACCTCTTATTTTTAATCTGTGCACATGTGCGCTGTTTCAGTGTGATTTGGACAAGTTGAGTGGGTGGGCAAATATATGGCAGATGAAGTATAATGTGGATAAATGTGAGCTTATCCATCTTGGTAGCAAAAACAGGAAAGCTGGTTATTATCTGGATAGCAATAGTTTGGGAAAGGAGTATCAGTTAGGGCTGTATTCACTGGAGTTTAGAAGAATGAGAGGGGATTCATAGAAATCTATAAAGTTCTAACAGGACTAGTCAGGGCAAACACATAAAGGATGTTTCCGATGACCAGGGAATCCAGAACTAGGGCATCAAAGTCTCAGGATATGAGGTAGGCCATTTAGGACTGAGATGAAGAGAAATTTCTTCACCCAGAGGGTGGTGAGCCTGTGGAATTCAAGAAGGAAATTGATATACTTCTTACCACTAAAGCAATCAAAGGATTTGGGCAGAAAGCAGGAACGGAGTACTGAGTTCACAGCCATCATCATATTGAATAGTGGAATAGGCTTGAAGGGCCAAATGACCTACTCCAGTTCCTATATTCTATGTTTCTATGTGTTCGTATCTCTTTTTGCATTAACTAATCAAATACTTACTCTTTCTCGTTAATTCAAGAAAGCCTTGTTCAAACAGCTCCTTTTAAAAAAAAAAGTTCATCCAGACGAAAGGTAATCATAAGGGAAAGAATTGTTTTTAAATAAACCATGTTGTGACCAACTGAGAGGGGTGGGCAAGTAAGGAAGGGGAGCCAGTTCATTCCTCCTCATCTGGAACCATAACAAAGTGGAAACCTCACCAGGGTCTAGTCATAACAATAGAGGATCTAATTACTATATTATAGATGAGGACATGGGAATTTAAGATAGGAGGATGTTGACAGGATGTGCAGGTACATGAAAGATTTTGAATTTAGTCTCCTGTGGTGCTACACATAGGAGGGACAAAGCCAAGTGCAGCATTCAATACAAGCAAAGTGAAAGGTTAGTTTGTCAACTGGAAGATAACTGAACACAAAGGCAGGAAAGAGAGGGGAAGGGATAGGGAATACAAACGGAAGAGGAGGGTTAGATTAATTGCACAGCACTAGGTAGAGGACAAGAGGAGTGGGTGGAGGGAGCTTTATTTCTGCTACTTGACTTGGGAAGGAAGATTGGGAGCTATGCTTCCTTTTGTCATTTCACCAGTTTGTAATTGACGTAATGGGCAATGTTCATGGCACCACATAGGGACGGATGATGGCATAGTAGTAATTTCACAAGACAAATGATCCAGGGATGTGGGTTAAAATCCCACTAGGGCAGCTGGTGGAATTTAAACTATGTTAATAAAGATCTGGAATTGAAAGGTAGTCTCAGTAACGATGACTATAAAGCGATCATTAATTGTTCTAAAAACCTGGGGAAGGAAATCTGCTATTTGCTGTTCTTACTTGGCCTGGCCTAAATGCGATGCCAAACCTACAGTAATTAGCTATCAAGGGCAACTACGGATGAACAACAGTGACGTCCACAACCCATGAAGGGATAAAGAAAATAATTTCCACTGGTGTTGTGACACAAGGACTCTCATGACTGCCAGGTCCAGACTGATATCTGAGCTAAGCAGAGACTTTCCCTTCTCTCCAGTTTTCAGTCTTCAGGTTTAGTGTGGGATTGTTGATTAGCATTTGGGGGAGGCAGTGGTGTATGCTGAGATGTTGGGTTGATGTGGATCCTGAACTGCTAAAGCTTAAATGTCACCAGGTTTTGTCCAACAAGTTTATTTCAAATCACAAGCTTTCAGAGTGCTGCTCACCTGATGAAGGAGCAGGGCTCTGAAAGCTTGTGATTTCAAATAAAACTGTGCTGCTCACCTGACGAAGGAGCAGGGCTCTGAAAGCTTGTGATTTCAAATAAAACTGTTGGACTACAACCTGGTGTTGTGTGGCTTCTGACTTTGTCTCACCCAGTCCAACACCGGCACGACCACGCCAAATCTTAAATGGGAAAGGGCAGGAAACATTACACTGTCTAATCTGAATCTGAATATTTAATAAAGAGAAAGGGACACATTTTGGAAGAACTGGAAATTGCAGTCAACACAGCAGAAATGTATATTTGAAAACTCCAAATTTTCACTCAATTTGCTATCCAGTCAAAAAGAAGCAATTGAGCAGCATCACTTCATGACAAAAGCACTTTACTCACTGGCCCAGCAGATTTTCTGGCAGTGCATAAATGACCCTTTTCCATTCCTTGGCAGGGAAGAACACAGATGGTTGTGTGGTATCACCAGAGCACTGAGGGTCAGCTGGCAGACATTGTGGCACCAGATAATGCCAGTTAACTCCAAAGTCAGTGGAATACTGAACATGAACTTGATTCTGAACAACCTTTTCTGTAGTTCTGCAGCCCACTGAAATCTGAAAGAATATAATCGATTGAATCCAATAAGCAATAATATATGACTTTTTCTGCCACATACTGTATTACCATAAATAAAAATGACATTTCAATTCATTTCTGAAGAGAAGAATTGGTTTTGGGAAAGATCCAGACCATTGGTAGACATTAATTAACTTGATATGGAAAAATACTTTCAAGTTTGAGGCTTTCATTCCATCTACACATAGTCCCAAGAAATTCCAGAACCATAGCAGCTATGATGTGGATTGATATCCAGTGTTACAGAGTTTATAGCAGTCCTATGGTCTTCTTGTGATACAAAAACAGAAATTGCTGGAGAAAATCAGCAGGTCTGGCAGAATCTGTGCAGAGAAATCAAAGTTAATGTTTCGGGTCAAGTGACCCTGCTCAACTTCTTCACAATTGCCTTCCAATCTACTCAGGACCTATCTGTAGTTTAGAATTAATGACCGCTTCACTGGTGAGTTTTTTGATGACAAGTAGCTGCCCATGTAAATTCAAAGCTGCCTGATTTTGACAGGGTCCCAAGCCCGTGAAGGATTTGTTTCCTGTGTCCAGGCTGATGCTGTGCAATCTACACTCTAACATTCTGAAACATATGTACATAATATGGAGCATATGCTCAACGTCAACAAGAAAAGACCTTTCAGTTTCTCATACATTGCCACCTTATTGCTATCCACAACTGCATGTGTATGAGACACTGGTTCATGATTGTCAATTTTGTTCAGTTGATTGTGTTCAAACCCCATTAAGGACACAAGATCTAAGCCACTTTAGTGCAGTAGAACAAGAAGGGCCTGTCTTTTTAACCTCTCCTCTTGCTTGAGGCATAGAGACCCTCAGGTTAAACCACCACCATAGATCTCTCTCTAATGAGAGAGCAACCACAGCTACTTTTCTGATCAATCTATCTCCTTCAACCAACACCACCAATAACATAATAATTGAACATTTACCCTACTGGCTAAGTGACAAGTGACTGCTGATATTACTTACAACAACAACACTGACATCAAACAGAATCTTATCAGGGCCAGAATGACGTGGATTATGGTGAGAGTTGAGGCAGAATGCGTAAAACATCCAATGAGGCTTATCTCGATGCTGGGAGTGATTCACTGCACCTTCTATACACTTGTCAGGCACCAAGGTGAGTTTCTTGCGAGGCAATGGTGAACTGCCTATTAAAGGGCATTATTGCTTATTAACAACTTCATGAACAGCACATCTCATCTCATTAAGATGTAGCTCCCTATCTTACCAAATGCTCTGAACAAATTAGATGCCAAGAATTTTCAATATGAAAGTCAGAGTGGGTATCTGCAGCTTGGTCCAACTGACCTCCATGTTGGACAGTGGGCACCAAAATCTAAGGGCACGCTCCATGGGTAATGGCCACAAGTACCTAGGAACTTTGGCATTTAACATGTACCAGCCTCTAAGAACTCTCATGATATATTTCTGATCCATTCACACCAAACCTCTGCACTTCAACACCAGTATTATAACTAAACTGAAATTTTAGTCTTACATGAAAGTTGTATTTTCAGATGCTCAGATGGTGTGAAGTGAGAGTTTGGCTTAAGTCCCTTATTTAGATTGTTCTACTTTTTTAATATGATTGTTTCTGACCTGCGTTATGCTTCGATGTATTGTGTTAAGATAGGAAAGGGAAAAAATTTAAGATTTTGTTTCAAAACGCTTTATGGTGGTTGCTTTGATGTTTTCACTAAATTTCTCTAAACCCACAACTGCTATTTTTCATTGACTGCTGTTGCTGTTTTGAAATCACATCAACCTTTTTGTTCATATGAAGTTTTTCCAGAGAAAATAAATAGCTCAAAACCACAAAGACCATTTTTGCAGTAAGGAAGAACACAAATTGTTTGCAAATAAAAATGAGACTCATAACTACATCAAAAATATTGATCCTTTAGGCATTGTGTTGTCTGCACTGTTTCCAGTTGTAAAATAGAAAAATCATAACTGGTCCAATGCAATATTGTAACCTAAACATCAATGTTAATTTCTGTCTGTCTTGATGGACAACTTGTTAACAATTCTACGTTCATTTTGAAACAACTTCAGCTACCTTTGTAAAGGGAGTGAAGACCTAAATACTGGAAATTTGAAATATGAAGAAGATGCTAACAGTGCTTTACAGGTTTGTCAATTTCTGCATGAGGAACACAAGTTAATAACAGTCACGATGCCATCTAAAATCCATCTGAAATGCTAACCTGTCTCATTATCAGGCATTGACTAACCCACTAGATTTGTGCCATTTTTGTTTTATTCCAGAATGTCCTGTAGTCTGAAGGAGAATCTCAAATATCCCAAAATGCTGGCAATTCAGCCTTCTCTTTGCACAGCACTGATGTGTCATCCTGAATTAGATCAATTGAGTACTTATATCTGTTCCTTCCAAATTACTTGGGTTTCTGAACCCATTAAATCTTGGCTCTTCTACCCTTTCAAAAGTTTTAAAATTTAGCACATACATATTTTGTTCCATGCATACCCATTGGGACATTGTATTAACTTTTTGCTTTGTAAGATGGAACAGAAAGCTTTACCTTGAAGTGCACAATCCAGTGCTCACTGGGTGTAAGGTCATGTGTTGTTGCATCAACTTCCCGACCATCATGACTGCCACAGAGCATCACTCCATCAGGGGAGTCACAGAATCTTTCCACAGAGCACTCATCATGGAACATCCAGTACTTGTTTAGTTTGTAATCTGCAGGCATGTTCACAGTTTCCATCAGTTTTCAAGATAAATGCACATATTAGTGAAATTTCACCCATTGCTTGTGCCAAATACTTTACACAGAAATCCATCCTGATACCTCCCAATAATAAATCAGGTTGCCGGCACATCTCAAATATCAAGTGATAAATTTATGAATAAATGCATCTATGGGTTCTTCCAATCTTAATCTCTTATCTACTAATGACAGAATTATTATATCATCCAATGCTTTGGTTTGGTTAGGTTAGACCTGCAGTGACTTTATAGTGTGATAGTCAAGATAAAATTTATCTGAAGTCACTAAATATTTGGCTGTTGTTCAGATACTAATGATATTGGGTCTCAGGCCTGTAATTAAAAACTTATGTACTAAGAAGCCTCTGAAACTGGGATACATCTGTAACTGGAAGCTTGCATCTGGTTTGTAACAAGAGATTTGTATCTGGGACTCAAGGCTCTAATGAGGAGCTTATTTCTGGATCGCTTAGGAGGTCCTATGGTGTAGGAAGCAGCATCTTTGTCTCTGAGCTAGAAGCTTGATGACCAAGTAAGGTGCAATCATAATGTGGCCAAACTGCAAGTTAATCTGCAAATCCTCCCTCTACACACTAATGGCAGGTGGTACGAGACAGAGAGATTTCTGATCAGTCATGTGATGGAGAAAAATAGGAGTCTCTAACATCTCCATCCAAAAAACGCATGTGAAAGTGCCACAGCAACTCTCCCTCTGAGTGAATGATAACACCAAACCAAACAGGGGTTGCACGATTGAATTGAAATTAGAAACATATATCTGGGTTTCAGGGCTATAATAAGGACATTGTTTCAAGGTCACAGAACTGTAGTTAGCTTGAGATTTGAAACCATAAAATGAACATTGTGAAAATTGGGTTGATGCATTTTTTAGACAGAGGCTATTTTCTACTTTTTCTTCACAAATTACTCCCTTACCAGGTATGTATTATGGAGTTAGAGGGAGTCTGCAAAGTGTAATAATGATAATTGCCAGGTTGCAGTCCTATTTGCAATTTCAATACAAAATCATGACTGACATTAGACAGTCACCAAAGACAGATAAATTAAGTCTTCAACTAAGTCGTCTTTGTAGCCAGCTTCAATGTATTTTTGGCCCCTGTTGAACATGAGCACATTGATTTTGGACTAAAAACAGACTTTTGTTCCTCAGTAGGACATTCTGACCTTCATACCGTCATATGTGGAGCTTTTAATGAAGCAGTGGACTCTAACAGCAGTCTGAAGTTTTCTGCATCTTGATGACTATTAATGACTAGACTATCATTTACCTGTGGGTCTTTCTTCAAATAGGTCAAAGATGATCCTGCCAACAGGTCCGCTGTCAGCAGGACTTCGGTCATGTGGTGGGACAGGATTACTGCTGAATGTATCTAGCATGAAGGTTCTTTCACCAGCTGTGCCAGATATCAATACATTGTCAATAGCCCAGTCACTTTGTTCATGGCCATCATGGGTAGGCTGCCACCAACGGAAACGAGTGCCTATTACTTTGGCCTCAGCTGGTAGAAGAATGCTCACAAAGCTATAATTGAATCACAGGTAGATTAAAAATATTACAGTTTGAATTTGTTTCAAAATCATACAGCAGATATTTCTAAGTTAGAATCATGATATTTATCAATAAGCAATCGTGGACAACTTTGGTTAAATGTCAACCATGATCTAGTTCAAACCTACTGTTAAGGAGTTAGTTTCCTCTTTTCACACTCAACAATTTTTCTCTCAATAATTATTACCTGAGGATGCCCCGACCAACAACTCTTGATCTCACCAGAGACAAATGAGAGGCAGTGAAGTAGAACGAAGTTATCCCTTTGCAGAAAAGAAAACAAGGAAATCTGAAAGGGTTAATGATAGGTGTATTTTCCCTAGGGTGGGGAATTTCAAGACTAGTGGGCATATTTTTAAGGTGAGAGGAGAGGGTTTTAAAAAAGACATGAGAGGCAATTTGTTTTTACATAGAGGGTGGTTTGCGTGTGGAATGAACTTCCTGAGGAAGTGGTGGATGTGGGCACAGTTACAACATTTAAAAGACACTTAGGTAAGTACATGAACAGGAAAGGTTTGGAGGGATATGGGCCAGGAGTAGGCAGGTGGGACTAGTTTAGTTTGGCATGGGCTGGTTGGAAAGAAGGGTCTGTTTCTGTGCTGTATGACTGTGACTTTATGAAAGGTTAACGTGAGCAGTTTTCTTCTTACAGACCCAAAACAATCAGTTTAATTGAGATGGTAGAAAATCTCTAGGATTTCAGAGGAAATTATAACCAAAACAAAGGGTAAACATTTGAATTTTCCCGAATCATTTAAAGAAAATACTGCAAGTGCGCAGCACCAGCTAATGTAGGTATCTTGTAAAAACTGCGGTGCAAAAGTTTATGCATTGTGCATACTACATTCAATTTTTTTATTATTCACTAATCAGAAGTGGGTGTCATTGGCCAAGCCAGTATTGCTCACCCCTAATTGCCCTTGAGAATATAGTGTAGAATTGCCTTCTTGAACCACTGCAGGCCATGTGCTGTAGGTCCACTGACAGAGCTGTTAGGAAGGGAATTCCAGGATTTTGACCCCATAGTGAAGAAATGGTGATATAGTTCCAAGTCAAGATAGTGCATGTTTTAGAGGAGAACTTGCAAGAAGTGATGTTCCCATGCGTCAGTTATTCCTGCACTTCTAGGTAGTAGAAATCATGGATCTGGAACGTGCTGTCTCAGGAGCCTCAGTGAATTGTTGCATTACATCTTGTAGATGGGACACACTGCTGCCAATGTGCATCAGTTACGGAATGAATGAACATTGAAGGTGATGGTTAGGTGCCACTGAAGCAGGATACTTTGTCTTGGACGGTGTTGAGGTTTTTGACAGCTGTTGAAGCTGCACCTAACCAGGCAAGTAGACAGTTTTTTTTTAATCACACTCCTGACTGTGCTTTGTAGATGGTAGACAAGCTTTGGGAGTTAGGAGGTGAATGACAGATTAATACGTGGACATTTTTTTTTAACCTAACAAGTCATTAGGATATGAAATGCATCGTTGAAAAGAATTATGACACCAAATTCAATTGTAACCTTCTGACTGGAACTGAATAAATCCATAAAGAGAAAAAAAAACAAGAATATAGGGAAATGGCAGGGGAGTGGAGGATAACTGGATTAGTTTTTGGAAGATCCATCTAGTCTAAATGGGCAAATGCTGTACTACCCTGTGATTATTGGGTCAAAAATTCTTACATTGGGAAGTTACTCATCTTATGAAAAACATGACCAGAAAGGACCTTTAAAACGTGACCGAAGGCTAATTTCATCATTGTTGCTTGCTCCAAAATACTGAAATTGGAGCATTAATCAGCTGTGAAGGTCCAAAAAATTTCAAATTGAAGCAAAGTGGGACTGCCTCCTCCAGAGGGTCCACCCAAATACCGCTGATATCAGGTGAGGCCTCATTTCCAGATCCTGGTTATATTTATACAGCTGTTTTTGCAAAGCAGTTAAAAGTGTGCATGCAACCTCTATCCTTGCTGTTACTTTACAAATAGCCAGTAATTCTTTGGAAGTTATGTGGTATATGGGCACTCACGAAGGCTTGTTGTACTGATCAAAGAAGATTTCCATCAAGGTGTTCCATGTGATGCCTCCATTAACAGAATAATCCAGGAAGACTCCTTGATTACGGTTATTTGGAGGAACGAGGCAGCCATACATGAAGTAGAACTGGATAAACTCAGCATCTTCGAGGTCCAGATCCACTGTCACCAGCTGACGACTACAACCCTAAAAAAAGAAATCATGCAGTGAGAAGCAGACTGTGCTGGTGTTTCAGGCATTTTGGGTGTTAATTTGTATATCAGTACTGTTAATGTTCAAGACTTAATGAAAAGTAAAATGATTTCTATGATTCTATATAAGTTGGTAGGAGAGCCTGAATGTAAAGATTAACTTTACATTCTCATCTTCTGGATGAGGACTTAGGATAATTTTTAGGTTTCAGCTTGTCATTTTTAGAATATTTATTAACTGGAGGTTTTTGGTATAAGTCTTGGATTGGGTTTCTCTTTGAAACAATGGTGTAAACAGCTGTCTTTTAAGAGTTGGGTAATGGATTAGAGAGGTTTCAAGTACAGGAGCAGGAATGTGTTGTTGCAATAATACAGGGCCTTGGTGAGATCACACCTAGAATACTGTGCGCAGTTTTGGTCTCCTTTTCTGAGGAAGGATGCTTTTGCTCTCGAGGGAGTACAGCGAAAGTTTACCAGGCTGATTCTGAGGATGGCGGGACTGACATACGAGGACAGACTGACTAGATTAGGATTGTTTTAGCTGCAGTTCAGACAAATGAGGGGGCATGTCAAAGAGACTTATAAAATTCTAACAGGACTGGACAGGGTAGATGCAGGGAGGATGTTCCTAATGGTGGGTGTGTCCAGAGCCAGGGGTCACAGTATGAGGATTCGGGATAATCGATTTAGGATGGAGATGAGGAGACATTACTTCACCCAAAGAGTGGTGAGACTGTGGAATTCATTACCACAGGAAGTAGTTGATGCCAAAACATTGAATGTTTTGAAGAGGCGACTAGATATAGCACTTGGGCGAATGGGATCAAAGGTTATGGGGAGAAAGCAGGATTAGGCTATTGAGTTGGACGATCAGCCATGATCGTGAAGAATGGTGGAGCAGGCTCGAAGGGCCAAATGGCCTCCTCCTGCTCCTATCTTCTACGTTTCTATGTAACACATTCATGCTTGAAAAATCTGGGATTTTTAATAGAGGTTAAAGTTTTTGACATTGTAATTTGTTCTGATCAAAGTGTTGAAACCTATATTTTAGCTTCTGTTTTCCAAGGAAAGGATTCAACACTGCTGAAGTAAACAAGCCAACCTCTAGATCAACTGAGTAAGAGGCTGCTAAAATGATTATTTGTGCCAGACTTGTAATTTCCGAAGTTTCGAACCCTGTCTTCCTACCTTTGTCAATAATGTTACTGGACTATGTAATTGCCATCACAGAAATATTGATAAAATGGTGTTTATACAATGGTACAGTACAAATATATCAAAAAATAAACTATGAAGAAAAGCCTACCATCTGTGCTTTATTGTCGGGGGATCTCATGATTTAACTACTGAGTTGGAACATGTGGTAATTACAAACATATATTACATGTTGCTAACAGTGACTTGTACAATGCAGGTCAGAGGGCATTATAATGGGGCAGAGAATTATTTAATTACATGAACTGAATACCAAACTGCATTCAGTCTTTTTTGTTAGGTATTAAATGGGCAGTCAGGTATGAATTTCCCACTGATGCACAACATTTTGATTTGTTTTGATTCTGATAGCTGTTTGTTTAAGCCAATTTCGATTCTATTTCACTGCTAGAGAGACAACTTTAGGACAATAATTAAAATACAATTTCACAATGGAAAGGAAGCCAAATGTCAGGAACTTAAATTCAGAACTCAGCCAATCCAGAATGCATTCCATCCTCCCTCAGTATGACACAAAATTAATAGTTATTCAAATGGTCCTGCTACAAAGATATACTTTTAGAAAGGACTATCGTGTAAATTCTTCATTTATCTGCATGGTTTCATAAAACACCTTGGCGTATCGAAGCAAAGCATGATTTGAACTTGTCCCAATGTTTAAAGGTGCCCTTTTTCCAGCGACCATGATCTCCATGATCAGTGGATAACAAAGAAGAATGGGAACTTTGCTTGATTTTTGTTTCCATTCTGTATCCCAATGAGACAAAAGTCAATTAAAATGCTGGCATTAAGTAAATCAGCACCAAGCAGTCGTGGTGTAATGTAAGTGGATGAGGATATTAGTTTAAAGGTCTATGTAAGGCTACATGATTTGGACTCCAGTAAAACCAGCTATCTTTCTCTGATAAAACTGAAGCACATTTCTCAGTTTACACATTTACTTACACAAAATGTTAACACACTGACAGTCACTAGCTTGGCAGAAACATTATACTTACTCCACTGAAGTGAAGAGCCATTCCAGAGGCGACCACTCCACAGACAGTGCTGAGTTTGCCTCCATTTACCATCAGCCAATTGCTGCTGGAGGGGGATCTGTTAAAGTTGTCTTTTAGCTGTCGAGGCAGACTTGTCTTTGGTTCATCACAGTAGACCCCACTCCAGTCCTCATCACAGCTGAGTACAAGAGAAAGCCATTAGATAGAGCAATATTGTGAAGACAAGAAAAAGGCAATGCACTAAGAAAAACAGTCGAAAACAAAAGTTGCACAAAAAGAAATGGGCTAAATTTTCCAATTTATTGTTAAAGTGTGATGAGTGAGTTTCATGGTCCACCTTGGACAAAGGTGTATTTTCTCACATGATCTTCTGCATTGTACCTAATTAATGTAACTGATCTGTTGTGCACCTTTCTCAGGGAATCGGGTGGCAAGTGAAGCTGAAGTGATCGATACTGCAGGTTATACTTCCAGGTTACACCGCTTGGGCATCACACTTAAGGCCCAGCTCCACACTACTTCTGCAAGCCAGGAACTACCTCTCAAACTGCAGTGCAGAATGCTGAAAATGTCTCAGAGGGAAAACAAGCTAATTCCATTTTTCCAGGACAGGGATTTAGGGGCGTTGTTGGACAGGGTGGTGGAGAAAAGGACAGTCCTTTTCCCTGTTGATTGTCACCAGTCAGTCAGACTGGACAGAAATTACAGCATGGGTCAGTGCTGTCTGTCACGTCAAAAGGGATGCGCAACAATGCTGCAAGAAGATCAATGATCTTGCGCACTTTGCAGTGCTACCATCTTCTTTCTGCTACCTCACACTCACAGGGTCAGCACTCATTCTGCCACTGCATATGCATGTGGCTAAGGCTCATAGATTAGAATTTGCAGTATCACATCTATTTATGTCCAAACAAGGCTTTCACTGTTAGAAATTGAGGTGCCTTTAATGCTGAATTTTTCTTATATTTTCTGTGTAGCATGAGATTTCATGTCAATACAATTTTCTTGCTCTAAACATAAACAATCTCTAACAAACAAGAACAAAGACAGGTTAAAAAAGCAAGGTGTACAGCTGGATGAACACAGCAGGCCAAGCAGCATCAGAGGAGCAGGAAAGCTGACGTTTCGGGTCTGGACCCTTCTTCAGAAATGGGGGAGGGGAAGAGGACTCTGAAATAAATAGAGAGAGGGGGAGGCGATGATGGAAGGTGGATAGAGGAGCAGATAGGTGGAGAGAAGACCGACAGGTCAAGAAGGCAGGGATGGAGCCAGTAAAGGTGAGTGTAGTTAGGGAGTTGGGATGGGAGTTGGGATGGGGGTTGGTCAGTGGGGAGGGAGGGGCGGGTAGGTGGGAGAAAAGACAGACAGGTCAAGGAGGTGGGGAGGAGCTGGGCTGGTCTTGGGATGAGGTCGGGGGTGGGAAGATTTTGAAGCTTGTGAAGTCCACATAGAGACCATTGGGCTGCAGGGTTCCCAAGCAGAATATGAGTGCTGTTCTTCCGGCCTTCGGGTGGCATCATTGTGGCACTGGAGGAGGCCTAGATGTACATGTCGTCCAAGGAGTGGGAGGGGGAGTTGAAGTGGTTCGCGACTGGGAGGTGTCGTCGTTTGTTGCAAACCCAATGTCCCAAGTGTCCGCTTGGTTTCCCCGATGTAGAGGAGGCCACAGCAGGAACAGCTGATACAATATACCACATTAGCAGATGTGCAGGTGAACAACTGTTTAATGTGGAAGGCTTTCTTGGGACCTGGGATAGGTGTGGGGGAAGGGGTGGGGGAAGGTGTAGGGGCAGGTGTAGCACTTCCTGTAGTTGCAGGGATAAGTGCCGGGGGTGGTGGGGCTAGTGGCGAGTGTGGAGCGGATGAGGGAGTCATGGAGAGAGCGGTTCCTCCGGAAGGCAGATAAGGGTGGGGAGGGAAAAATGTCCTTGGTAGTGGGGTCAGATTGCAGGTGGTGGAAGTGGCGGAGAATGATGCGTTGAATCTGAAGGTTGATGGGGTGATACGTGAGGATGAGGGGAATTCTATCTTTATTGTTATTGCGGGGAAGGGGTGTGAGGGATGAGTTGCGGGAGATGCGAGAGATGCAGTTGAGGGCGTTTTTGACCACTGTGGAAGGGAAATTGTGGTCCTTGAAAAGCGAGGACATCTGGGATGTCCGGGAGTGGAACGCCTCATCTTGGGAGCAGATGCGGCAGAGGCGAAGGAATTGGGAATAGGGGATGGCATTCTTGCTACCTGGCCTGCTGTGTTCAGCCAGCTCTACACCTTGTTATCTCAGACTCCAGCATCGGCAGTTTGTATTATCTCCAGGTTAAAGATAAAGCTGCACGATGGTGTTGGGTCACTGATATCAATAAGTCACATCTATTTTTGGTTCTGGCAGCAAATCATCATTAATTTTGCCATTGACTAGATGTCCTTTCCCAGTTCACCTTGCCTTCTTTCCTATTCTTTTCAGCATTGATGGTTTCTGTACTATCAACCATCACCTAGGTTCCTCACTAGTAGAAATATGGATAAGCAAATATGTAAGTGGACATGGATTCTGTGGCGCAGGGTGTAGAAAGCAGAGAGGATAATGTCAGATTGGGACACAACAATAAAAATTTCTTTGATACTACCTCTCTTCTGCTTCCCCAAAATATAGAGGCAGATTTTCTGAGGATTGGCAATCTCACACAGGTTGCCATTCTGCCCCTTCTTTATTATGAACTATGATAGATGGCCAATGCTGCTTATTATGGTGTGGTTTCGCATCCCGCAGGGTCTTATACTTGATGAAGCAATGCCTGCCTGTCTTATCTTCCACAACATAAGAAACTAGGTGTGGATATTGTCAGAAGTCACATGACACCAGGTTATAGTCCAACAGGTTTATTTGAAATCTCAAGCTTTCAAATAAACCTGTTGGACTATCACCTGGTGTCATGTGACTTCTGACTATGTCAACCCCAGTCCAACACCGGCACCTCCACATTGTGGATATTGAAGAAACTAACAGATACAACTAGCTGAAAATACAGTGTAAGAACATTTAAAAAGAGGTACACTGCATTAAGAAAGTTGTGTCCAAACATTGTCAGTTCTGCCATTCCATTTTTACAAATAGGTGTGAAAACTTTTAAAGGTCCGTGTTGTCATCTCTGCTTTTTTGATGTGAGCACCACCTACAGGAAAAAAACTGCTACTACAAGTCAGTGATTCTTAGACCTTAAGCCTACAAGGTCAGAAATCACATGAGACCAGGTTATAGTCCAACAGGTTTCAGTTTTAAAGGGACCAAGCCTAATGAAATAGCAATTCTAAAGGGACCAAGAATATTACACTTACAGGAACATTAATGAGCTAGCATTGATATGATTATACTAATTTACAATCAAGTTGCATGTTTCCATTGCAAATCATGCTTCAAGTGATCCCAGGGTAAGATTCAGTTGGATAACTCTCTATCCCCAGGTCGTGAGATCATAAGATCATAACGTATAGGAACAGAATTAGGCCATTTGGCCTATCAAGTCTATTCCACCATTTGATCATGGCTGATATGTTTCTCAACTCCATTCTCCTACCTTATCCCCATAACCCTTGATCCCCTTACTAATTAAGAACCTATTTTTTCTTCTTCTTAAATATACTCAGCAACTTGGCTGCCACAGCCTTCTGCGGCAGTGAGTTCCATAAATTAACCACCATGTGATACAGTGATAATATTATGAGCATGTCTCTTAAAAGATGTACTGGCAGACTGACTGTGAGACATAAGACTTGCCACATTGATACTATTGCCAGCCAGTTGAAAAAAAAAATCAACAGCACAAATTACTAAATGAATAAAAATGAAAATCATGAACTCAAAACATTTGGGGAAGTCATCTGCATCATCATTCAGAAGAAATCAATCAGAGACCTTATTGAAGCACAAGTAACAAAAACCAAAACTTTATTCCATTCTCTCAGGTTTCCTGTCTGATTTCCTTCAGGTTATTCAGAAGCATCTTAGCTGCTCCCTGAGATTAATTTTACTTTATGGTTGCATGGCAACCACACTTCTAGGCTATTACACTAGCTGATTGATTTGGTGGATGATTCATCTCAAATCTTATCTTGTCACAGTTATAGGGTATCAGTTGTTCTTTACACTTAACCTTATTGCGTTTTCCCAGCTTATGGCCTTAATAAATTAAATTTTAATTTGGTTATATTGCTAGTTACATGCTGCACACATTTGAGGAGCCAGTGATGTCAGTGCTGCACTAGATCAGTGTCAAAACAGCTCCAGGGAAATGTTTTCCTCAAGTTAAAAGAACAACAAAATCCTTCACTTACATGCAAGAACCACGTGAGCATCTTCCATGGCCTGTGCACATGTCCACACAGCTGTCCCCGATGTAAAGATTGTCTATGGCCCATGTTTGCTGCTTCTCAAACGGTGCTGGCTGATGCCATCGGAAACGGGTAGCCTGTGACCTTTTGGGTATAAATTGAGTGCAGAGTCAAACAAAAAAAATCGTCACAAGTTTACAAAATATGTTGTAAAACTTCTCAGCTGATGCTATTACAAATATCTGATGCACCTCCATACTCTGGCAGCTTTGGGACTTTTATTGGAGCTGAGAATTTGCTGGACCACAGAATGTCAAGTAGATACAATGAAGAAAAATTTAAAAAGTAAAGAATTCACCTTTACTTGTATCAATCACATGCCTAATGGATTAATAATTTTCCAACTGGACATCAAAAACAGGATTTAGATATCCAATTGGACAAAGTGAATCAAAAAGTTATATAAGTTAAGAAAGACGCAGAACCACTACAAAGAAAACTGGAAGTACTGTGGATGCCAGACTTGCATAGATTAGGGAGGTATAACCTGTACTGAATAATAGATACTAATTTTACTATACTGAAATAGGCAAACAATCTACACGCTAAACCTGAAAGACAAGTTGTACTTGAGGACTGTTAGCCTCAGTTTCCCAGCATATTAGAATGGAGAATTGGTTTCTAATTATTAGTATCCATTGACACTTATGCTGCTGTTTTGAATCACAAACCCACTTTTCTACACCTCGTAACTGTACATTTTCCATTTATTACAACAGAAATTATATTCATTGGAATTCAGAAGATTGAGGGGGGATCTTATAGAAACATATAAAATTATGAAGGGAATAAATAAGATAGAAGTAGAGAGGATGTTTCCACTGGCAGGTGAAACTAGGACAAGAGGGCATAGCCTCAAGATTAGAGGGAGTAGATTTAGGACTGAATTGAGAAGGAACTTCTTCACCCAGAAGGTTGTTAATCTATGGAATTCCTTGCCCAGTGAAGTAGTTGACGCTACTTCAGTAAACGTTTTTAAAGAAAAGGTAGATATTTTTTGAACAATAAAGGAATTAAGGGTTACGGTGAGAACGTGGGTAAGTGGATCTGAGTCCACGAAAAGATCAGCCATGATCTTATTGAACGGCGGAGCAGGCTCGAAGGGCCAGACGGCCTACTCTTGCTCCTAGTTCTTATGTTCTTATGAAATAGAACCTGAGAACTTATCACTACCCTAGTGTGGGGTGGGGTAGAAAATGTAAATGATTAGAGACTGCATTAATAGAATCCTACATTCAAGTATTGAGTGACTCAGAGAATTCTATTTTTAAATACTTGCGAAGATATGTCTAAAGGAATGCTCAATCCATGAAATAAATTGCTATGAAATGTTGCCTTTATCAATGAACATGATAAAGATATTGGGAAATCTGCATTAGGTATTCTATGAAATGGAAGGGTTTAGTAAAAACAACTTTTGAAATAAATAATATCAAATCCTGTAAAAATGAAAAGATACAAATTGCAGGGTGTGTCGCATCATATACATTTTTACAATAGGCTTCTACTTTAACATTGGGAGGGAGCAGATGGCAATACTGCAAAGAAATGTTAACTGGGGGGCCTGACAGAGAAGGGGAAGATCAGAGGCAGGAATTTCTTATGGGGTAGGTGTGCTTCTGTTTGTCAATGAAGAAATGGTTCTCCTAACTTACCAAGACAAGTGTTGCTGGCTTTCTGATAGGTTCACCTGGTACTTAGTAAAGTTTCTTTTGTAGACCGTCAGCATAGAATTTTCACAGGCAGTTTACAATGAATGCAATCAATAGTCACATTAATTTATTAGGTTCCAACTGGACATTAAAAACAGGGTTTAGATATCCAAATTGGACAAAGTGAATCAAAAAGTTATATAAGTTAAGAATGACGCAGAACCACTGCAAGTACTGTGGATGCCAGACTTGCATAGATTAGGGAGGTATAACCTGTACTGAATAATGGATACTAGTTTTACTATACTGAGACAGGCAAACAATCCACATGCTAAACCTGAAAGACAAGTTGTACAGGAGGACCGTTAGCCTCAGTTTCCCAGCATATTAGAATGGAGATTAAGTTTGTGGAAGTTTATTGCAGTCCTTAATTGTTCTTGAGGAGATGGGAGCTAGTAAAAGAAACCCACTGGATGTATACATTTAGACTTACGTATGAATTTAGGATTTAAGGACATGATTAGCCATTTGATAAGATCATGCCTTATCTGGTTGTGGTCTCAAACACACTGCCCGGTCTGCATTCCCCTAACCCCACAGTCTATCAAAAATCTATGTAATTCTGCTTTGAACAATTTCAATGACACAGATGTTGCTTATGAATAGTAAGCATGGTCACTTTTGGGCTTAATGGACTGCTAAACAATTTTCAAAATACATGAGAGCAGCGGGCAGATCTACCTCAAAGGTCCCAAAATTGCCTAGGTAAATTCAATTCTGGGGGGGGGGGCGACCAATCAGGGAGAAGTCGTCCACATACCCACAATAGTCAGAATCTGTAAGTAGTTGTTCATTCAATCAGAAACCAGTTCTCTGGTTGTGATAGTGATCCTATCAGCAGTAAATGCGGACGAGAATCGTCTGTGATTGAAAATGCACTAAGAAAGGGAGTGGCGGGGGGTTAAGTGAGATTACTGAGGCTAGGGAAAAAAGGCCAGGACATGCAAGAACTCCAAGGCCTGAGGTAGCAGAACTGGAGAACGAGCAGAAGCAAGGCTTGTGAAGCTAGGGAGTGGAACTGGGTGCAGGATAGGAAGTATGTCTATAAAGAGAGATAGTGGTGCACCTATGGGGTAGGAAGAGGTCAGCAAAGAGGAGAGAGCAGTTTTCAACCCGACAACAAAGGTTTAGTGTATTGTATGAACATTACTATTGTAACAAACACTGTCCATTAGATAATTAATACTGCACAGTTTCATTCCTTAAAGCCTTACATTAAGTGCAATCACATCTCAAAGCATCTCATAAACTGTGAATGCAGGGGCTGTGTTAGGGAGAAACGTATAATTGCTTAGATTTGACCTCCCACTCCATAGAAACCGTGGTTCTAGCTGTCACATTTTCGTAGAATCCCTACAGTGTGGAAACAGGCCCTTCAGCCCAAAAAGTCCACACTGACCCTCAGACATCCCACCCAGACCCATCCCTCTATAACCCACCTAATCCACACATTCCTGAACACTACGGGCAATTTAGCATGGCCAATCCACCTAGCCTGCAGATCTTTGGACTGTGGGAGGAAACCGGAGCACCCGGAGGAAACCCACACAGACAGAGGGAGAATATGCAAACTCCGCATAGACAGTCACCTAAGGATGGAATCAAACCCCAGGTCCCTGGCGCTGTGAGATAGCAGTGCTAACCACCGCGCCACCATGCCACCCGTGTGTACTGGTTTGTGTCAGCTTTTTAAAAAATAAATTTTTGGTAAATCATACTCTACACCTCATGAGAACAATACAAAACTAAGAAGAATTATGAGTGGTGAGGAGGAATTAGAGGCTTCAAGGAAACTTTTATAAATTGAATGCACGAACAAATACATGGCAGATGAAGAATCACATGGATAATTGCGAAGCTGTCCACTTCAGTAGGAAAAGCAGAATAGAAGATCAGAAAAACAGAGTATTATTTAAATGGTGTTGGATTGGGAAAGGGACCTAGTCATCCCTGTGTACCGGTCACTGAAAGCAAGCATACAGGTGCAGCAAACAGAAAGGCAAATGGTACACTGGCCTTTATTGGAAGAGGATTTGAGTACAGGAGCAGGGAAGTCTTACTACAATTATGAGACCACACCTGGAGTGGTGATATTACTAAAGATGACTATATCATCTGATAAAGGAGTTAGTTAAAACAGAATAGCCTTTAAGACGATCCATTAAAATTAAAATTTTACCCCTGCTGCCTAGAAATGTTTAATTCTTCATTCAACATTTGATAGAAGCATATCATCCTATTGTGTTTGCTTTGGTTCTGGAGTCTCTGCAAGCCTAGCAAACTGACCAACTGGGAGAAACTAGTAAAAGCAGTATCTTGCAAGTAATTGTAATGAAATGATCTGCTTGATGGTGTTGCTGTGGCAGAGATCCTACTCTGGGGCCAGTTACAATTCCATTGCGGACCCAAGTATATTATTGGATGAGATTTACATTTATTAATGAAGCTCCACAGGTATCTGACAGGAGCCTCAACCACTGCTGAAGCAAATAGTAAAATCACAGATTGGAGGAAAGAGAAATGGAGATACTTCATTTTAACTGAATCTACACGGTTACTCTCAATCAGGTGAGTTTTACTCACATAATTAATCTAGATTGGGACTACAGTCAGAGGAGCAGACATTTGGCAAAATTGATCTGAGAAGAGAATATACATTAGGTGCATAAAAGGTTTTAATTACTAGCTTTAGTTTAGAGCTTAAACTTTGAAATATAGCATCTGGTCCAAGAATCAAAGTTAAATTGGTCTGAATAACAGCAAATCAGAATTCTGTAGTACTCATATCAATCACTAGATGACACTATTTTCCACATCGTTTCAGAAGCTCCACACAAGGCATAAAAGATTTACAGTGATATAATATGGGAGATGGGGGATAGAGCCTTTAAACATACTGCACACAATTTGTGATCATTGGAGATGCCCACATCTCTCAGTTATCTCAACTAACTGGGATTTCTGCATGTGCCAGTCTAGACAGTAGTGTGGGCAGATTATCTGACCTGTACATCATCATAACCGATTCTGGTCACATCCTGATGCACAAAATACAGCTCATTTACAGAAATTAGTTAAATGGCTGTTTTCATTATTTCTCTGGGGAATTTTTTGATTGAGGCTACAATGAGAGACCAGAATAACTCTCTCTGTGGGACTTTGTAAATCAGAGATCACTAGATGGCTGTTACTGGATTCCCAGACTGATTTTGCTTCCTCCGTTTGTTGAAATATTTGGAACCATTCACTTGTTATAGAAAAAGCAGCTTTTCAATTGTACTAATTAAAATTGAAACATTTTCAGACTACAGAACATAATCATTTCTACCTTTATTTAATCTCACCAACATGCTCCTGACAAATGACAGCCATGTGAATTTGAAATAATTGTATTTTTAATCCAGAACTATTTGGAATTTTTGTAAACTGAAAAGAGCAGCGTACTGGTTACCTGGTGTAAGGCGGCAATGGCAGTGTGAGTCTCGTCCACTTGTTGAAAACGTCAGACATCAGGATCCTCCGTAGATGGTATTTGTTACATTCCACATTAGTTGGCAAACAATCTGTCAGCACAGGCTGCCAGTTCAGTCCTAGGTCCACTGAATACTCAAGTTCCACAGCTAAATGAATGGAAGAGATCCAAACAATCACATCAAATCCTTATCACAGAACCTTTTGTCTTATTTTAATAATTTGACTGCACTAATGCTCAGAGTATAGATAACCTGCTATTCCAAGTTTGAACTTATATACACTGATCCTCTGAATTTCTAGCTGGTCATCATCCTCCTTACCCTGAAGCCTGCACTTAAGGACAGACACCCATATTGCAGATGTTACTATTTTATTGCTAATTCCTTCAGCTGAAAACATGCGGGAACTAACATGGTATGCATCTGATTGACATCCCCATCACATACAAAACTAAATAAGTAAAATTGTATAAAGCTGTGTAATTATCTCCCTATGTCCATGTTACAATCAGCAGAATGTGACTTAGTCACCTATTGGAGGAAGTTTGAAACTATAGCTGTGAAACTATTACTAATTAGTTTTGTGTTACTGAAAGACTTGCCATGAATTTAAACTACATTTGCAATTCAAAGATTCAAACAAGATTTCTAGGAGTTGATGGTATTTTGTGAATAAAATTACCACTTTTGCTTGTCAGATTTGCTGACTTGTTTTCTAATTGGGAAATGACGAAAACTCTGGAATAATATAGTAGAATTTTCCCTTAGAAGATTTAAGAGCAGGGTGTGGCACTCAGAGTATGCATTGTCTGAATTTTACCTATTATTTTCCACCCACTGATGTCAATGAATGGAAAACCACTGGCTCCGAACTGATCTCTACAAACACAGCTCCCCGCTGAGAAAATGTTGAATTAAGTCTAATATTTTAGGGTAGATGCTACAATAAAAAAAAACTGTACACAGTTTGGAGAATGAGCAGCCTCATTTTATTTAGTGCTTTAAAATACTTGCTATTATGCTCCGTATGTCACTATTAATTAACCCAATAAATGAACCGGCAAAATGCTCAATGGCTAATTATACATAGTAAAAATGCATAAAATGAGGACAAATTAATGTCTGTCCATAGCAACCAACATAGAGACAGATCTAACATATTTGTCAGAGTGTTACTAAATTTGTTCTGACTCACACATGGAGCACTGATTTGTTTATTTTTGAGATATTCTAGTTGAATGAATATTGCATGGTATCAAAAAGTAATTCTACAATCCTAGATTTCCAAAACAGCATGAAAGCTATAGCTTTGATTCTGTGACCCATGATCCTACATGTACAGTTTCTTAACAGCAAGAGAGGACCGTGAATCAACCTTCATATTTAAACTATAGGGTTGTCTGGTAGACAAAGACCCTGAAACTCTTAGACTGTGAATGGGTGGAGGGGGAAATTTCTGCTTAGGAACACAGGAGTTTGGAGCAGAACCCGATTGTATCAAGATTCCAGTGTTTCTTTAAATGTTGATAGTGGGGAGCATGGATCCACCGCCAACACTTGCATCTCCCTGACATCAAGAGAATGGGGGTTGCTGGAGAACCCTGGAAAATTAAGACCTCTCTGCACATAGCTTCAAAGGAACTCCCAGAACCCAAGAAAGTCTCTGAACTTTTGCTTGGTAAAGGTATTCAACCACATGTGATATAGGCATCTTCCAGGTGTAATGTTCTTGTCTGGCTATTTAAACAACCCTGTTCCTGAAAAGTGAGATGTAGCTGCTTGGCTGTCCTGATGCTGGGCATACCCATGTCATGCAGTCAAAAGATATGGCAGTGAGACTTGAAATTTAAATTTACCACCAGATCCTCACACTCAACCAATTTGGTTGGTGTAGAAATTATGGCAAGTAGAAAATTGAAACATTCTCAAAATAACCTTAGGTTGAGTATGTCAAACCCCTGTTCATTTGTGAATTTCCTGAGATTGATATCTTCAGTGGGGAAGATGGATTGCTGAAATCTGGGTGAATCACGTCAAGTCAGACAGTATGTAAACCTTGGTGAAAGCTTGTTGTGGAGTTTGGAACTATTTGGTAGGTTACTTTCAAAAAATCTGGACAACATCAGATGTCATAGTCAGATGTTTTATGATAAGTAGGCTTTTAATATTGTAATTGATTATAAGGTTCTGTCCTTTAAAGGTAAAGGGCATTAGTTGACAAAAATTGTTCAGGTGCATTAGAGTACTTTATCTAGTGGACAAAGTACTATTCTGTACTGCACAGTATTACAAATCTAGATATATGTCCTCTTTGATTGAAAGTTCATTTGTTGAGCCTTTAAAAACTGAATAGCTGGCAGAACAGCTGTTCAAAAGAAACTTCAAATGCTCCATTTCATTGAGCTCTAGAGGATTTGTTTATTCAGCTGTGCAATTGAAGTTAATTGGGGATGCTTGGCTTTGCTCCAAAAATGTGGCTATTTAGAAACTGTTTGCACAACCTTGAAGGGGACTGAGTTTCTTTGATTAATATTTTAACCTACTCATAAAACTATTAAAGTATTTTGAGGAGGTTTGTTTTACCAAAGCCTGTTTGTTTGTTTCGACAAATCAACGAGCACTGAAGAGCTTCTGTTCAACAGAAACAACTGTTTACAACTGTTTGAATGGATTATTGTTTTGTTTTATTCTTTAATGAACATTTGTGAGTTCTATCCATAACAGATATGATTCAGTGGTATGGATGGCGAATGGAGATATGAAGGGACATGAGATAGTCGGGGTGTGAGGGATGTGAAGTAGGAAGCCACAGCATCCACAGAACTGGGCTGATGTCACAGTGGATGGAGGTGGATTTTCTAATCTCACCATCAATATGCCTCCATTCCCACCTTGGGCCTGTATGGGGCGTGGTGGGTCCAATTCCAGCCTGCTCCTGATTTTCCATTGTGAAAATTACACGTGTGTGAGGTTCAGTCAGGGCCCATTGCATGTAATATCAGGAAACTCCCTGACTCACAATTCTAGCGCAAACAGTGAATGTATGGCCCAGGCAAGGATGAACAGGAGTCCCATGCTATCTCAACTATGTAGAACCCCAAGAATTTCAGGGGTTCTTTTGAACCCTTACTCATCAAAAAGACATTTACCGTAACAAGAGTCTGTAACAGAGCAGGAAGCAGCAAAATCAAACTGCAAGAAGGAATCCTCATTCACCACCACATCAGTAGAGATAACGTAACGGGTGTAAGCCTTCTCAATGAATACCAAAGCATCCCCATTCGAGCCACAGACAGGCATCTTTGTCCCTCCTGGGTGGAGCAGCCACTTCCTGTGATCCAATGTGCTGAAATTATCTTCAATCACAGTGTTACCAGTAATGCTTCCTCCAATCACAATCTGTTTCATTTGGAAAGAGGTATTAGTAAAGAGGAAATGAAAAGGACACAAAAATACATTTAAAACATATTAAGAAACAAACCAAAATATTCAGGCTAAACATACTAGAGATTGGACATGAGAGATACATTTCAAACTGCTGGCCTGTTTTGTATGGAGGTAATATAGAAATGGATGGACAGTTTTCAGTTTTGCTGATCATATCTTCTAAGAAAAGCACTGAAGAATATTCCCATTGAATTCAATAGGAAAGGATATTGTCCATAATTCGAGAGATTGTTCAAGGTTCAAATAGTACTTTCTCACTCCATATTTCTTTCCCCCCAACCTGGTCCTCATATTCTGTTTCTCTGATGAAATGACATTGCTGATGTGTGGTCCACAGGTGAAAACGGCCCTCTGTGCTTGTACCCAAATGGCTTTTCTTCAGCCATTTGGGTAAAACTGAGAATCTGCAAGCGTCAGAGCTGAATCACGTTTTGTCTTCATCCTACTACTGACATGCTCGTTTTTAAATATATTATCGTTCTTTCAGTGTAACCATTGCTGGCAGGGCTGCCATTAATTGTGTATCCCTAATTGCCTTGGAAGCTGATGGTGAGCCATATTCTCGAACCACTATAGTCTGTTGGTGCAGCTATACCTACAGTGTAATTAGGGAGGGAGTTCCAGTTTTCTGACCCAGCAACTGTGAAGAAATGGAATACAATACCATGTCAGGATGGCATTATAACTTGCAGGTGGCTGTGTTCCTTCATGCCTGCTGCCCTTGACCTTCTAGCTGGTAAAAGATGTAACCAGAAGAACCATGGCAAGTTGTTGAACTGTGCCTTGTTTTAAATTGGAAAATGGGGTTAGCGATCAAGGGGGCTGTTTTGTTCTGGATGATGTTGAGCTTCTTGATGTTCGAGCTGCATTCATCCAGGTTGATGAACAGCATTCCATCATACTCCTGTGCTTTGTAGATGGTGGGCAGGCTTTGGAGAGCCAGAAGATAGGTTATTCACTGAAACATTCCGAGACTCTGACCTGCTGATGTAGTCACTATTTTCATAGTTGGTCCTGTTACTTTTCTGATCTCTGATAAAACTCAGGATGTTGATGGTGAGGAATTCAGTGATGGGCATGCTTTTGGCTGTCAACAGGCGATAGTTAAATTCTCATTTGCAGGAGATGTCCATTATTTGGCACTTGCATAGCACAATTATTATCAGCCATTTATTACCCCAAGCCTGAATTTTGTCCAAGTCTTGCTGCATGTGGGCAATGACAGCTTCATTACTTTGAGGCATTTCATTAGGTCCTGAACAGTGTGCAATCATTAATGAATATTGCTACTCTTGATATCCCTATGCCCACGCTACATGAGAAATCGGGCACAGGTCCAGTGCTGGAGGCCAACGTACTCCTGGGTAGGCTCTCCAGTTGTAGCTCCTGGAAGTTTAGGTTTTGGAGTTAGAATGGCATCTGGGGACACTGGAGCATTTGCAATATGAAAGTATCATGGGTAGTGTATGTAGAGAGGTGGTCACACCATTGGGTAAGACTCCATGGGGAGCAAAGGAATGGGTGACCACCAGACAGGGTAAGAGGGCTCGGTGGGTAGATCAGGAATCCCCTGTGGCTATTCCCCTGCAAAACAGATATACTGCTTTGGATACTTTTTGGGGGAATAGCCTCTTTGGGGAAGTGACAGCAGCCAAAGTCATTGTACCACAATTGGCTCTGCTGCACAGGACAGGAGGAAAAAGAATGGGAATGCTGTAGTAATAAGGGATTCAATGGTCAAGGGAATAGATACAAAAACAAAGTTGCTGGAAAAGCTCAGCAGGTCGACTGTTCTGTGGCCACAAATGAAACTTCAGAGTGGTATGTTGTCTCCCAGGTGCTGAGGTCAAGGATGTCTCAGAGTGGCTATAGGACTTCCTGAAGTGGGAAGGTGAACAGTCAGTGAACGTAGTACATATAAATACCAATGATATAGGGATGAGGTCCTAAAAGCAGAAATGGAGAGTTAGGAAGCAAGTTAAAAGTAGGACCTCAAAGGTAGTGATCTTGGGATTAACACTGGTGTCACATGCTCGTCAGTGTAGAAATACCAGGATATTTCAGATGTATATGTAGCTGGAGAGATGGTGTAAGGGGATTCTGGGAAATTGGGGCTGATTCTGTGGGAGCTGGCACCAGTACAAGCTAGACAGGGTGCAGCTGGGCAGGACTGGAACTGATGTCCTATGGAATGTATTTGCAAGTGTGGTCGGGAGTGTTTAAACTAAAATGGCAGGGGGAGAAAAACCTATACAGGGAGACAGATGACAGGGAAATAATGAACAAAACAAAGACAGAATGGGAAATAAGAAAGGTGATAGGCAGGAAATTGAAGGGCTAGAACTGAGCAGGACCATAGGACTAAGAATGCTAACAAGATAAATCTTAAAGCTTTGTGCCTCAATGTGCAAAGCATTCACATTAAAATGGATGAATTAGTTGCACAAATAGATGTAAAGGGGCATGATACAATAGGGATTACAGAGACATGGCTGCAGGGTAACCAGGAATGGGAACCCAATATCCAGGGGTTTTCTGATTTTAGAAAGGACACACAAAGAGGAAAAGGAAGTGGGGCAGCACTGCTGATTAAAAAGGAAATTAATGTGATTGTGAGGAAGGATATTAGCTCTGGCGAAGTAGAATTTGTATGGGTTGAGCTTAGAAACACCAGCGTATACAGGATAGTTTTACTTATCAATATGTAGAGGAATCAACTTGACAAAAGGCCTTTATTGATTGAGTATTGTGCAATGAGGAAGGAATAATTGATGATCTAGTTGTGTTTTGGCCCTTAGGGAAGAGTGACCACAGTAGGATAGAATTCTTCATTAAGATAGAGAGAGACATAGTTATTTCTGAGACTAGGGTCCTAAACTTACATGAAGGAAATTAATATATAATGAGGCGTGAGCTGGCTATGACATTATTATTTAAAGGCAGGATGGGAGATAGGCATTAGCAAATATTTAAAGAGCGCATGGATGAAGTACAAAAGTTATTCTTCCCATTCTGACATGAAAACAAAATGGAAAAAGTGGTAAGACCATGGCTAACAAGGGAAATTATGAGTGGTATTAAATCTGAGGAAGTGGCATACAAATGGCCAAAAAGCAACAAACATGAGGATTGGGAACAGTTTAGATTCCAGCAAAGGGAGACAAGAGAATGATTAAGAGGGATAAAATAGGATATGAGGGTAAGTTTGCAGGGTACTTACAGACTTACAGTAAAAGCTTCTATAGGTATGTGAAGAGAAAAAAAAATTAGTAAAGACAAATATAGGTTCCCTACAGTCTGAAACAGAAGAATTTATAATGGTGAATTGGTTCAATACATATTTCAGTTCTGTCTTCACAAAAGAAGACACAAACAAAATAATAAAAATATCAGGGAACACAGGGCCTAATGCGCTAGTGGTCATCTTCCAATCAACATTAATGAATGCATTCTCCATGGCACCACCTTTATCAATCAGAGACACTGCCATCCAATCAGCTCCTTCCTCTCATGCAGTATAGATTTTGGTTTGCCCCTTTGGTATTCTTGCAAAACATCCTGATGAGTGCAAGACGAACAGCTTCAACAAACTGTGCCTTTTATACTCAAGTTTAATGATGCTTATTAGTGAGATGAGTGTTTTATTCCAGAATTATTAATAAATTAAACTTGAATTCATCTAGTTGCTCTGATGGGACTTGAACATTAGTCCAAGACTCTGGGATATTACTCCATTAACACTACCAGTATGCTATCATCCTCCTTTCAAAGGCTGTCATTGAGTAGGCACCAAGACCAGAAATTCTGGGTGATATTTCATCTGCTTAACCTTATGGTGATTGAGCACCAAGCTAATTTATCATAATCATAGAATCCCTACAGTGTGGAAACTGGTCCTTCGGCCCACTAGTCCACACCGAACCTCAGAGCATCCCACCCAGACCCATCCCCCTCTAATCCACCTAATCTACACCTCCCTGAACACTACGGGCAATTTAGCATGGCCAATCCACCTAACCTGCACATCTTTGGACTGTGGGAGGAAACCGAAGCACCCAGAGGAAACCCACGCAGACACGGGGAAAATGTGCAAACTCCACACAGACAGTCGCCCGAGGCTGGAATCGAACCCAGGTCCCCGGCGCTGTGAGGTAGCAGTGCTAACCACTGTACCACCATGCCGCCCTGGTTATCCCTGGTTAAGAATTAACTGTAGCTGTTTACCACACCTCCCTATTGCATTGATTTTTTATATGCAAAGTCCCACCTCATCGATGGCCCAGGGGCTGTAAAAATGCCCGTCTTCAGACGGCTGCCACCAACGCAGACGGGTGGAGGAGGATCGAGCCTTCAGTGGGATCTCGAGGGCGATGTATCGGCCCATGTTACTCGAGTTGCTGAAGAGAAATTCCTGGAGAACGCCCCAACTGAGGCCCCCATTCAAGGAATACTGTAAAAGCATAGGTTGGCTCCTAGGGTCTGGAGATGCTTTCCCACAACCCAGTCTTAGGAAAAACTGGACAAACCTGAATGGAGAAACAATAGAAATCAAAAGTAATAAAAGATATCAGTTAACATTTCATAAAATTATAGAATAAAACCACTCAGAAGGAGGTCATTTAACGCATTAAGTTTGCATCAGGTACTTTAAGAGAGAAATTCAGCTGGTTCCACTCCCTTGCTCTTTCCCTGTGTCCCTGTAAGCTTTTTCTGATGATAGTTGTTGTCCAATTCTTTTTGGAAGTTATTACTGGATCTGTTTCCACCACCAGGCAAAGGAGGGCATTCAAAATCCTAATGACTAATTGTGCAAAAAATCTATTCCCTCATATCAACGTTTTAAGATAAATGACTTGATGTGGACATGCCTTGGCATATTGAGCCTGGGATCATTTGTTCTACTGCCGTTTCCAACTATAAAAATATCCAAATAAGGCAGAGGCAAATGTTTGCAGAAACACTAAAACTGTAGGCTGCAATTTAAAACCAATGCTTTTCTGAGGGACACAGAAATTGGTTCCAATATAAGACCGTAAGAAATAGCAACAGGAATAGGCCATTTGGCTCCTCGAATCTGCTCCACCATTCAATAGGATCATGGCTGATCTCATATTCCTCGTGTCCGCTTTCCCCGTAACCCATGCTTCCCCAACTCATCAAGTGGGGGGTTGGGGGAAGGGATGAGGGGAAGTTGCGTAGGGGATGTGATGGGGAATTGTGTAGGAGGCGTTGTCAGTGGGTGGTGATTGTGATGGGGTGTGAGGGGAGTGTGTGGAAGGGGAAGTGTGTGGGAGAGGGCAGTGTAAGGGGAGGCATGGAGGAGTGAAGGAGGGGTGTGTGGGGGAGCGTGTAAGAGAGATAAGGGGGAAGGGGAGGTGTGCAGGAGGGGTGTAAGAGAGGTGAGGGGAAGAGTGTGGGAGAGCTGAGGGGGACGGGTGTGGGAGGGGTGTGAAGAAGTGGTGTTTGTTGGGTCTGAGGGGGAGGTTTGTGGAGGTTGTAAGGGAGTGAGGGGGAGGTGTGTAGGAGTTGTGTGAGGGGACTCTATGGAGATGTGTGAGGAGGATTTGTGAGGGGGAGTGTGAGCGGTGGTATTTGGGGGCATGTCGGGGGAAGTGTGTGGGGTTGTGAGGGGGGGTAAGGGGAGTATAAGAGTTGTCTGAGGGGGCTGAATGGGGATATGTGAGGTGGGTTTGCGTGGGTGTTATGGGGGGGATGGTGTTTGGGGGAATGTGAGGAGATGTGTATGGGGTGGGGAGGGGAGTGAGGGAGAAGCCAGTGAACCAGTTGCTGTGGCCTGGGGGTCCTGCCATCTCTCCTTTTTACTCCCACCAGTTCCCGAGATCACTCTCTCACTCTCATATATTTTTGTACAACATATTGTGAATCAGGGGTGGCTTTATATGGCGATTTTATATAGTTTTATATTACTAGCTGGTCTTTAAGGCATTATTTGCACATATCTTGAGCTAGTTGTCTGTTGTTGTAGTTACGCTGAATGTTGGCTGTCCTGCTCATACCAGTGCCTCGATGTCTCATTGGGTGGACTAAATAGCAATAGTCCAGGTCAGCTGGAGACGAATTATTGATGGCAGCTTTTATACATTGGCTGTTGCTTTCAAATCATTGAATCCTATTAATGATTTTCAAGGTCAGAAAACCTGCAGAAAATAAGTCAGCGTCTTTAGTACTGGTGCGTGAAATGTGATGTCTGAAGTGTCACTGACGTACACTTTGTCTGTTAAAAACGTTTTGAGGAGATTCTGCATACTCAGTAGAAAAAGTGGAACTGTCACTTTAATCTGGAGAAGTTGAAGATTCCATTGTGTTCTCTGAGAAATGTCCACATGTTCTTGTGTTCTTTCTGATATTCAAGTACCTCCCTTTAGTTGCTAGCAGTACTGGCTTTCGAAAAGATCCTCTGCTTTTGTAATGAGAACTCATTATAAACACATCCATAATCCCACAGACCTGAGTTAAAAGACGATTGATGGTGACATGCTGTGAACAGCACTGGGAGCTACATATGTACTCAGCATTAGTACCTAATATTTGCATGTACCAACCACCAGGTCTCAAATTTGCAATCTACCCAGCATCTCAGGGAGAGGATATTGGACTCTTAACTGACAAGACATTAAAGAACACTCCGACACACTGTGAGATGAAAACATTCATTTCTTTTATATTATATGGAAAAAAGATGCATAGAATTCCTCTCATCTTCTCAGCATAACAATTCAGCATGGATACCTGGGCTCACTGATTTCGGTGAATGATTCATCACAGCTCCATTCCTGCACTTTTGAAATGAATATCTGGGGAAGTGGTAGAAGGGGAATTATATTTTTTAAACATTTTGTGAGAAATGTCAAATCTTATGATGGAAAGAAATTTTTAAAATAAAAGTAATATTCTGCTCTTGATATGATGAAAGTGGAGAACAATAAATATGTCAAAATCAGCATTTGAGTTGGGGAGGGTTTGTGTGAGATGGAAGATAAAAGAAGGAGACAGAAACAGAGACATTGATATATTAGGTTTATGAATCACCACTTGAAGGGGAACTGAAGTTCAAGCAGATTTGAGAAGTAATTATTGCACATTTAAAATTAGCTGTCACTTGGTATAACAAATACAACTTAATGGAAATATCAATGGACAGATTAGAATGAGAGTACAGCAGTCAGTATTAACATAGGAGGCAGACACTTAATTGTTTAGCTAGGCTTTTACAGTGAGTTAAAGAAGAATGAGCTTGAATAGACTTTTCTCATTTACACGTTATTTCACCTAGAATTATGTGAATGTAAAACAACTTGTGAGCAATTAAGAAAGGAGGCTGAATGATTAAATGTGTTGCAAGTACCTGGCATGCGACAAATCCATATCCACAGTCATCAGCATACGCAGTCCCTCTTCACTGAAGAAGAGGCTGTTTCCACTGGACATTAAGCCACATTTCCTGGATGGCTTCCCACCGCTGACCACTAGAAATTTCTCTGGGTCTATTGGGCCTGAAAATTAAAGTAAGTAAAGCATGTGAAATCAGATATCACAGGTTTGAATGATGCATTAAAATGGCTGCCTTGCCAGTTGGACTACATTTAAGCCAATGTGATTTATAGTTACAAAGTATTGCTGCATAAGAGTTAGAAAGTTTATTATTACCATATTTTAGAGAGTTTCAAAATGTTATCCTATGAATAATCTTTAATAAAAACAATGCTAAATTATAATTTAAAATAGATCATTCCTAATTACTCACATTCTACCCCATCTAAACTCTTAGCTTGATCAATTGGCATTTAATGGTATATCAGCTACTTGATTGAGAAATAAGATCAGCATCTGAAAATTATTCACTGAACAGAATGAATTTGCAGCCTGCTAAATTTAAAAAGTAGAGAGCAATGCTCCATTACCACATTAAATAGACGCAAAACATAGCTATTAAAATGTTTCAGTCTTTTGCAGATGCATGTTGACTTTTTCCAATCTCATTTCTGTTCAATTTTATTAATGTTAATGTTGTACAAAATCATGGTTCCTTTTAATTTGCCTTTTATGTGATTCTGTTTCTGTTACTCTCACGCTAAAACCTTTTATATCTGCACACAAATGAACCTTGCTAAAATCAAAGTTCATGAAAGCATTAAAAGTGGAAAGTAAATCATAGGCAGCAAAGATTTCATTTTTTTGCACAGTTAATCCAAAATAGCCATGGCTAAAACCTGTTTGTTTTTATATGCAGACAGAACTCACCAGTGTGCAGAGGCACAATCATGCCTGTAACTGAGATTCATTGAAGAAAGAAAGATCTTTAGCCAGCACCTACTCAGAAGGAAGCAATGTGTGTTTCCATGCAGTTTACTGCTAATGTAGTTCATGGAATCAAAATCCCTACAGTGTGGAAACAGGCAATTTGACCCATCGAATCCGCACCAGCCTCTGAACAGCATCCTACACAAACCCAGCCCCCTACCCTATCCATCCATTTACCATGGCTAATCCATCCAGAGTGCACATCCCAGACACCGCAGATAATTTTAACATGGTCAATTCATCTAACTTGCACATCTTTGGACTGTGGGAGGAAACCAGAGCACCCAACAGAAACCCTTGCAGACACAGGGAGAACGTGCAAGCTCCACACAGACACTTGCCCGAGGGTGGAATCAAACCTGGGTTCGTAGCACTGTGAGGCAGCAGTGCTAACCACTGAGCCACCATGCCGCCTGTTGCAGCATATGTCCATGTTGCACTTAACCAAGAATGGAGAATGTTGAAAATTCACAAAATTTGTATTGAAAAAATGGCATTCCAATCTCTTGGAATGCTTTCTTTAGCCACCAGGATACTGATGTCCATTCTAGCAGAATCATTCTGTGACAGTTTGTAACCCTGCTCTTGTAATATAGACAACGGAGTGGCCCATGTGTGCATAGCAAACAGCAATGCGACAATCAGCAGATAATCAATTTTTATGATTGTTTTTGAGGATAAATATTGGGTAATTTCCCCAATCTTCCTTGAAATGGTGTCATGTGAACTTTTACAATCATCTGAAAGAGCAGAATTAATTTCAGTCTAACTCATACACACTGGGGAGACTGCTATTTCAAACCAATCGATTATGCTGTAGTAGACTTTTTAATAACTTCAGGCATTTTTAATGGAGATCAGTGGTATTAGTTTGATTCAGTTGGTCAAACCTTTATGGGTTTAAGCTCCTAGTCCAATTCTTAAATAATAGTGAAGCAGTGGGGGAGTGCTGTCTTAATTTGGGAGACAAGTTCAAGTGCCAGTTTTAGAACCCATGGCACAACTCAAAAGGTAAAGCTACTGACCAAAAATTAAAGTCAAAAGCAGAAGGGCTGGCCTTTTGTCATATAGTCATTTGAGCGCTGTTAATGGTGAAAAATGGCTGCCATTTGCTTATGTAACCGTCACCATACTAGTAACAGCAATTCATTGCATGAAATACTTAGAAACATATTGTTGCTATTAAAGGCAGTCTTATTAATTAATAATTGGATTTCTCTCTTTCTACTGAATCACACAGAAACACTAGCTGATTCCACTGACCACAAACCATGATGTTCAGAGCACAGAAATATAATACTCTCCTCCCTTCCCTTCACCATTCTAATGATCTTATTGAGAGAGAGAGACAGGAAGTTAGTGTGGCACAAAGATCCACAAATGGATCTATAATGATACAGGTTAAAATACTGGCTGTGGTTTTTCACTTCTACATTCATAAGCCTGTGACTTTCCACACAATTTACAGAAAGCCATGGGTTGGTGAGCAAGGAGGTAGAAAACCTGTGAGTGTGTACTAATAACCTGAATGGATGTTCCAACCAGGTGACTGCCCCATTTTCATCATGTTTCAAACAGCTTCATATTCCCAATGTTCAGAATAAAATACACTGGAAGCATTATCATCAATAATAACAATAGAAAGTGGCCTTCATTCTCCACACACTTTGCTATACTTCTGTGCCATTTCCTTTAACCCAAGGTTTACAAAACTACAAATACATTGTTTTCAACAAACCTTTAAAGTCTCCCTTCAAGAAATCTGGGTTTTTGGAGCTGATTTTGCAGATTGGTCCAGAATACCTAGAGTCGCAAATGCACTGGGTTCCACTGACACAGCTGCCATGTCCATTGCACATCTCCTCACACTGTGGTCCAATGTAAACATTATCGATGGCCCAAGTCACTGGTTGAGAGCCTGACGTGTAGAACCCTTGGTACCATCGAAATCTCACAGATCTGTGACCGTAGGAAGCACATCCACAAACCAAATCATATGAAAATAAAAGCTAGGGAAGATTATTTTATATTGTGAGACTAAACAAAAAAAGGACTTTTTACATAAACAGCTTCATTGGACACTGGAACCGAATAATCAGTCTGCTAAGTGAACAATTGGATATCAATTGATGTGAACTCAGTAACTTTACATATCGAAGTCTGGATTGAAATGATATTATCCTGAGAGGGCAGGCAGATGATTCTGCTTGTTTTAGCAGCATTGCAGCAGTCCATGCCTTTACCTATGGATGGTACCACCAAAAAAAGTGAGTGAAAACATATTTAAAGAACGGGTAATTAAATAAATGCTCAGAATGGCAGAGTTGACAATGATCAAGTTGACACTGGTGGCTTGATAAAAGAAAAAGGTCTGAAAATGAAATAGGAGCAGTAAGAAAAAAGTCAAAGGAAAACTTGTGTTGGGAATAGATATGAATGGAAGGATCAGAATTCTGAGATAACAAGGTGTAGAGCTGGATGAACACAGCAGGCCAAGCAGCATCAGAGGAGCAGGAAGGCTGACGTTTTGGGCCTAGACCCTTCTTCATTTTTCTGAAGAAGGGT